ACTGAGCTGAGCTGAGCTGTGTTGAGCTGAGCTGTGTTGAGCTGAGCTGTGTTGAGCTGTGTTGGGCTGAGCAGTGTTGGGCTGAGCTGTGTTGAGCTGAGCTTTGTTGAGATGAGCTGTGTTGAGCTGAGCTGTGTTGAGCTGAGCTGTGTTGAGCTGAGTTGTGTTGAGCTGAGCTGTGTTGAGCTGAGCTGTGTTGAGCTGAGCTGTGTTGAGCTGTGCTGAGCTGTGTTGAGCTGAGCTGTGTTGAGATGAGCTGTGTTGAGCTGAGCTGTGTTGAGCTGTGCTGAGCTGTGTTGAGCTGTGCTGAGCTGTGCTGAGCTGTGTTGAGCTGAGCTGTGCTGAGCTGAGCTGTGTTGAGCTGAGCTGTGTTGAGCTGAGCTGTGCTGAGCTGTATTGAGCTGTGCTGTGTTGAGCTGAGCTGTGTTGAGCTGAGCTGAGCTGTGTTGAGCTGTGCTGAGCTGTGTTCAGCTGTGCTGAGCTGTGCTGAGCTGTGTTCAGCTGTGCTGAGCTGTGTTGAGCTGAGCTATGTTGAGCTGAGCTGTGTTGAGTTGAGCTGTGTTGAGCTGTGTTGAGCTGAGCTGAGCTGTGTTGAGCTTAGCTGAGCTGAGCTGTGTTGAGCTGAGCTGAGCTGTGTTGAGCTGAGCTGTGTTGTGCTGAGCTGAGCTGTCTTGAGCTGAGCTGTGTTGAGCTGAGCTGTGTTAAGCTGTGCTGTGTTGAGCTGTGCTGAGCTGTGTTGAGCTGAGCTGTGTTGAGCTGAGCTGCGTTGAGCTGTGCTGAGCTGTGTTGAGCTGAGCTGTGTTGAACTGAGCTGTGTTGAGCTGAGCTGTGTTGAGCTGAGCTGTGTTGAGCTGAGCTGAGCTGTGTTGAGCTGAGCTGAGCTGTGTTGAGCTGAGCTGTGTTGAGCTGAGCTGAGCTGTGTTAAGCTTTGCTGAGCTGTGTTTAGCTGTGCTGAGCTGTGTTGAGCTGAGCTGTGTTGAGCTGAGCTGTGTTGAGCTGTGCTGAGCTGTGTTGAGCTGTGCTGAGCTGTGCTGAGCTGTGTTGAGCTGAGCTGTGTTGAGCTGAGCTGTGTTGAGCGGAGCTGAGCTGTGTTGAGCTGGGCTGAGCTGTGCTGAGCTGAGCTGTGTTGAGCTGAACTGAGCTGTGTTGAGCTGAGCTGTGTTGAGCTGAGCTGTGTTAAGCTGAGCTGAGCTGTGTTGAGCTGAGCTGTGTTGAGCTGAGCTGTGTTGAGCTGTGTTGGGCTGAGCAGTGTTGGGTTGAGCTGTGTTGAGCTGAGCTGTGTTGAGATGAGCTGTGTTGAGCTGAGCTGTGTTGAGCTGACCTGTGTTGAGCTGAGTTGTGTTGAGCTGAGCTGTGTTGAGCTGAGCTGTGTTGAGCTGAGCTGTGTTGAGCTGAGCTGTGTTGAGCTGAGCTGTGTTGAGCTGAGCTGTGTTGAGCTGAGCTATGTTGAGCTGAGCTGAGCTGTGTTGAGCGGAGCTGAGCTGTGTTGAGCTGGGCTGAGCTGTGCTGAGCTGATCTGTGTTGAGCTGAACTGAGCTGTGTTGAGCTGAGCTGTGTTGAGCTGAGCTGTGTTGAGCTGAGCTGTGTTGAGCTGAGCTGAGCTGTGTTGAGCTGTGCTGAGCTGTGCTGAGCTGTGTTGAGCTGAGCTGTGCTGAGCTGAGCTGTGTTGAGCTGAGCTGTGTTGAGCTGAGCTGTGCTGAGCTGTGTTGAGCTGTGCTGTGTTGAGCTGAGCTGTGTTGAGCTGAGCTGAGCTGTGTTGAGCTGTGCTGAGCTGTGTTCAGCTGTGCTGAGCTGTGCTGAGCTGTGTTCAGCTGTGCTGAGCTGTGTTGAGCTGAGCTGTGTTGAGCTGAGCTGTGTTGAGCTGAGCTGTGTTGAGCTGAGCTGTGTTGAGCTGAGCTGAGCTGTGTTGAGCTTAGCTGAGCTGAGCTGTGTTGAGCTGAGCTGAGCTGTGTTGAGCTGAGCTGTGTTGTGCTGAGCTGAGCTGTCTTGAGCTGTGTTGAGCTGAGCTGTGTTGAGCTGAGCTGTGTTGAGCTGAGCTGAGCTGTGTTGAGCTGTGCTGAGCTGTGTTCAGCTGTGCTGAGCTGTGCTGAGCTGTGTTGAGCTGAGCTATGTTGAGCTGAGCTGTGTTGAGCTGAGCTGTGTTGAGCTGTGTTGAGCTGAGCTGAGCTGTGTTGAGCTTAGCTGAGCTGAGCTGTGTTGAGCTGAGCTGAGCTGTGTTGAGCTGAGCTGTGTTGTGCTGAGCTGAGCTGTCTTAAGCTGAGCTGTGTTGAGCTGAGCTGAGCTGTGTTGAGCTGTGCTCTGTTGAGCTGTGCTGAGCTGTGTTGAGCTGAGCTGTGTTGAGCTGAGCTGTGTTGAGCTGTGCTGAGCTGTGTTGAGCTGAGCTGTGTTGAGCTGAGCTGTGTTGAGCTGAGCTGTGTTGAGCTGAGCTGTGTTGAGCTGAGCTGAGCTGTGTTGAGCTGAGCTGAGCTGTGTTGAGCTGAGCTGTGTTGAGCTGAGCTGTGCTGTGTTGAGCTGTGCTGAGCTGTGTTTAGCTGTGCTGTGTTGAGCTGAGCTATGTTGAGCTGAGCTGTGTTGAGCTGAGCTGAGCTGAGCTGTGTTGAGCTGAGCTGTGTTGAGCTGAGCTGTGTTGAGCGGAGCTGAGCTGTGTTGAGCTAAGCTGAGCTGCGTTGAGCTGAGCTGTGTTGAGCTGAGCTGTGTTGAGCTGAGCTGTGGTCGGCTGAGCTGTGCAGAGCAGTGTTGAGCTGAGCTATCTTGAGCTGAGCTGAGCTGTGTTGAGCTGAGCTGTGTTGAGCTGTGCTGTGTTGAGCTGTGCTGAGCTGTGTTGAGCTGAGCTGTGTTGAGCTGAGCTGTGTTGAGCTGAGCTGTGTTGAGCTGAGCTATGTTGAGCTGAGCTGTGTTTAGCTGAGCTGAGCTGAGCTGTGTTGAGCTGAGCTGTGTTGAGCTGAGCTGTGTTGAGCGGAGCTGAGCTGTGTTGAGCTAAGCTGAGCTGTGTTGAGCTGAGCTGTGTTGAGCTGAGCTGTGTTGAGCTGAGCTGTGGTCAGCTGAGCTGTGCAGAGCAGTGTTGAGCTGAGCTATCTTGAGCTGAGCTGAGCTGTGTTGAGCTGAGCTGTGTTGAGCTGTGCTGTGTTGAGCTGAGCTGAGCTGTGCTGAGCTGAGCTGTGTTGAGCTGAGCTGTGTTGAGCTGAGCTGTGTTGAGCTGAGCTGTGTTGAGCTGAGCTGTGCTGAGCTGAGCTGAGCTGTGTTGAGCGGAGCTGAGCTGTGTTGAGCTGGGCTGAGCTGTGCTGAGCTGATCTGTGTTGAGCTGAGCTGAGCTGTGTTGAGCTGAGCTGTGTTGAGCTGAGCTGTGTTGAGCTGAGCTGTGTTGAGCTGAGCTGTGTTGAGCTGTGCTGTGCTGAGCTGAGCTGTGTTGAGCTGAGCTGTGCTAAGCTGAGCTGTGCTGAGCTGAGCTGTGTTGAGCTGAGCTGAGCTGTGTTGAGCTGAGCTGTGTTGAGCTGACCTGAGCTGTGTTGAGCTGAGCTGTGTTGAGCTGAGCTGTGCTGAGCTGAACTGTGTTGAGCTGAGCTGTGCTGAGCTGTGTTGAGCTGAGCTGTGCTGAGCTGTGTTGAGCTGAGCTGTGTTGAGCTGAGCTGTGTTGAGCTGTGCTGAGCTGTGTTGAGCTGAGTTGTGCTGAGCTGAGCTGTGTTGAGCTGAGCTGTGCTAAGCTGAGCTGTGCTGAGCTGAGCTGTGTTGAGCTGAGCTGTGCTAAGCTGAGCTGTGCTGAGCTGAGCTGTGTTGAGCTGAGCTGAGCTGTGTTGAGCTGAGCTGAGCTTCGTTGAGCTGAGCTGAGCTTCGTTGAGCTGTGCTGAGCTGAGCTGTGTTGAGCTGAGCTGTGTTGAGCTGAGCTGTGTTGAGCTGTGCTGCGCTGTGTTGAGCTGAGCTGTGTTGAGCTGAGCTGAGCTGTGTTGAGCTGAGCTGTGTTGAGCTGAGCTGTGTTGAGCTGAGCTGAGCTGAGATGTGTTGAGCTGAGCTGTGTTGAGCTGAGCTGTGTTGAGCTGAGCTGTGTTGAGCGGAGCTGAGCTGTGTTGAGCTGAGCTGCGTTGAGCTGAGCTGTGTTGAGCTGAGCTGTGTTGAGCTGAGCTGTGGTCGGCTGAGCTGTGCATGAGCAGTGTTGAGCTGAGCTATCTTGGCAGCTGAGCTGAGTTGAGCGGAGCTGGCTGTGTTGAGCTGAGCTGTGTTGAGCTGCTGTGCTGTGTTGGAGCTGTGCTGAGCTGTGTTGAGCTGAGCTGGTTGTTGAGCTGAGCTGTGTTGAGCTGAGCTGAGCTGTGTTGAGCTGAGCTATGTTGAGATGAGCTGTGTTTAGCTGAGCTGAGCTGTGTTGAGCTGAGCTGTGTTGAGCTGAGCTGTGTTGAGCAGAGCTGAGCTGTGTTGAGCTAAGCTGAGCTGCGTTGAGCTGAGCTGTGTTGAGCTGAGCTGTGTTGAGTTGAGCTGTGGTCAGCTGAGCTGTGCAGAGCAGTGTTGAGCTGAGCTATCTTGAGCTGAGCTGAGCTGTGTTGAGCCAAGCTGAGCTGTGTTGAGCTAGCTGTGCTGTGTTGAGCTGGGCTGAGCTGTGTTGAGCTGAGCCTGTGTTGAGCTGAGCTGTGCTGAGCTGAGCTGTGTTGAGCTGAGCTGTGTTGAGCTGAGCTGTGTTGAGCTGAGCTGTGTTGAGCTGAGCTGAGCTGTGTTGAGCTGAGCTGAGCTGTGTTGAGCTGAGCTGTGTTGAGCTGAGCTGAGCTGTGTTGAGCTGAGCTGTGTTGAGCTGAGCTGTGTTGAGCTGAGCTGAGCTGAGCTGTGTTGAGCTGAGCTGAGCTGTGTTGAGCTGAGCTGTGCTGAGCTGTGTTGAGCTGAGCTGAGCTGTGTTGAGCTGAGCTGTGCTGAGCCTGACTGGTGGTTTGAGCTGAGCTGTGCTGAGCTGAGCTTGTGTGAGCTGAGCTGTGTTGAGCTGAGCTGTGTTGAGCTGAGCTGTGCTGAGCTGAGCTGAGCTGTGTTGAGCTGAGCTGAGGGGAACTGTGTTGAGTTGTCGGAAATCAAAACTGAAAGTGAATTCAATAAACCTTATTGACTTGGGCTGTTGTTTGAGAGAGGAGACGAGATGGCGGAAGGTCGGTGTGAGTTCCCTGTCCTGGTGAAAGGCGACTGTAAAGCAGAAACGTTTAAGACTTTAAAAAACAAACTACAACTTTACTTTCAAAGCCTAAAGCTGTCCGGCGGCGGGGAATGCATTGTGGAATACGGAGAACCGTCCAAAGCACAAGCCGTGGTGTGTTTTGCAAGTGAGGAAGGTAAATGCATTGTTGTTCTTTTATTTAATCTTCATATGTTTGAGATGCAAATTACGATGTAGTAAAATTTGATGTTAAGAGTACAGTAACAATTCTCCTTTAACTCACTGGGTGACTCCTGATTAATCCAAAAGTGAAGTTTTAAAAGCAATCTCTGTAATGATCACAGATCTCAGGGGCGGACACTATATCTGCACTGGGTTTTGTGGGCGTTTTCTGCAGAGAAAATGATACCAGACCTGAGGAAACAGATTACTATTTGGGGGTTTTGCTCGTCTACAGTTTGGCGTTAGAGGGAGAGTTAGTGCAGATCTTTTCCCCAACGGGGCAGCGTGTCAAAGGGGAAGATCATGACAGACTGTTTTTTGTATGGTCTGTGTGTACTTTGGTCCGATCTAATTTATTATTGTCTTATGTTCCTGTCGCCATTTATGATCAGTGCTTCGATTGGGTAATCTTCACTGCTCTTGACTGAGCTCCTGGGATGGTCTGACCTGTTGGCAGCTGAGGGCCTGATCCCAGATTTGAGAAGCGTTCACTGGCGCAAAACAATATTTTATCCTGATGCCACACCCGGAGCCCCCGGTGACTGGCACCTGTATTTGCTCATCACCCAATAATGTTAGAAATGGTTCGGGGCTGGAACATCGCCCCCTGGGCCAGACCGGGCCTGCAGGCCGGTTGGATCACTCTGATGTAGGCGGACATCTCAATTCAGTGCTGGGGGGTACTGCATTGATGGTGATGGCAGCATTCAGATGAGATGTTGAAATTCAATTTGCGTCTGCCTGCTCGGGTGGGCATCACACATCCCCCCGCATTGAGGGAATGGAGTTTCTCCCAGTTGGGGACAGGGGAAACTGACTATTCGGGAGATTTCCCAAGTGCCTCCGTGAATGGTGCTTTTATGCTGTTTGTGGAACAGCCATGTGGTGAGCTGTGGAATGGAGTTCCAATGGATGGGGGCAGAAAGGCTGAGCCAGGCCGGCTAGGGGACATGGGCCGACCGGAGACCGCTGAGTGGAGGAAGCCAATAGGTCTAAATGGAATTAACAGGTCACAGAGGTAGGGAGGAGCAAGGCCATGGGGGGCTTTTTAAGGTGAGGACAAGAATTTTGAACTCTATCCTCTGGGGTTGAGGTGCCAGTGGAACTGAGCAAGAATGGGGGTGAATGATCTGCAGCCGGTGGAGGGAAGAGTTGGGCAGGGTGACAAACAAGGAGTCAGTGTAATTGAGCCTAGATGTGATGATTGTATGGATGAGGGTTTCGGTGGCATGAGGGGAGAATAATTGGTGGAGCCAGGCAATGTTGCAGAGATGGGGGACGGCAGAACAGGTCATGGGACGATGTGGGGTAGAAATGACAGTTGAGGGTCAAACAAGTTGCCAAGTTTGCGTCCTGGCTTAGTGAGATGTAGAGTGTATCAATGAGTGTGATGCTGTCAACGCCTGAGGTGCTGATTGGACCAAGCAGGGGGTGTCTTGGTCTTGTTGACATTTAACTGCAGAAAGTTAGCTCTCATCCAGGTCTTGATATGTGACAGGACAACAATTGTCCTGGTGTCAAGGGTGGAGGCAAAGAGGCAGAGTTGGGTGTCATCCGCATACATGAAGACTGTGAAGATGAACTGAGAGAAGAGGCAGCAGAGGAGGATAGAATGACAGTGTTGAAGGCGGCAGAGAGGATAAGGAGGGCGAGGAGACAGAGGGAGCCCTGTCACAGATGGACAGAATATCATTTGTCACTTTGAACAAGGCTGTTTCTGTGCTGTGGGAAGCGCGGAAACCTGGTTGGAGGGGTTTGTAGAGGGAGTGGCAGGAGAGGAAGGAGAAAAGCTGGGAACTCATTTCAGGACCTTGGAAACGAAAGGGAGGTTGGAGATGAGGCAGTAGTTGGAGAATAGGGATGGGTCCAGGGAAGGTTTTTTGAGGATGAAAGTGATGACGGCTGTTTTTAAGGGGTGGGAATGGTGCCAGTGGATAAGGAGAGGTTGATGATGTCTGTTAATAGAGGGGCAAGAAGATGGAACTGGGAAGTAAGGATGGGATCGAGGGAGCAGATGGTGGGCTTCATTTTAGAGGTGAGAGAAGAGGGAGAGTCAGGGTCGAAGGTGGAGGAAGGGATGGGGTGTGAGGGGGAGGTGGGGAGGGGCTGGCAGTAGAAAGAGCAGAGCCAGCTGAGTGGATACCCTCGATTTTGGACTTGAGGAAGTCCAGCATCTCCTTGCATCTGGAGTTGAAGTAGAGGATGGGCAAGGCCCGAGAGGGTGGATGGTGGAGTCGGTTTGTGGTGGAGAAGAGAAGCCTGGGATTGTCCTTGGCTTCCAAGCTTACCTATAAATATGCAGCCACTACACTGTACAGAAAACTCTTTGAAGGATTTTGAAACATTCTGATGTAATGAGACACTGTGCGAAATGCTAGGCTGCTGAATACTTTGACGGTAACTAAACAGAAAAAGAATACTAAGGGTTAAATTAATCTCAGACATGCTTAGCATCCTGGGGACTTTCCATGACATTTAACCCAGTGGCAGCTACGTATTAGTTTCATATTAGTGATTGTTTTCCATTAACTCTTACCATGCCAAACAAGGCTTTTAAATACAAATGTTTCATTGTTGCTTTGAAGTAATACTTTCTCCCGGTGAGCAACCTATGAGTTTGTGACGTAGTAAATGATATGAACCTTCCTTTATTTTTCAGTAAGAAATCGTGTACTGAACAAACCAAGTCACGAACTGGATTTGAAAAAAACAGACAAAGTGCAACTTGTCGTTACACCCCTGGACAAAAATGCAGCTGAAGATAAAAATAGAGCTGTCGCTCAACAGGCTGAGCAGGAATCTGTAAGCCTAAAAAATACCTTACATAATTATTCACTTCTGTTAGGTGTCTTGTTGCTTGTTTAAATTGCCTTTATATTTAAACTGTTTTAAAGGCAGTGGAGACTGCAAGCAAAACACAACAGAGAAAAGAAAAAGGTACTATACATTAAAGGGAAGTACAATCATAATAACATATGAATATGATAATGATTCAGAAATGAATTGCCACTTTAAGGAAACTGTTGAGTCAAATAATTAGCATAATAACGAGTCTAATAATTAGTACATACTTTGTCCAATTGTGTAACTACTTTGATACAAAGGTAACATTCCATCCTTGTAATCAAAATAATTTATCATTATTTTATGATAGATTGTAATACAATCAAGAGAACTCAATTGTGAATAATTATTCTCCCTTCTCTATGATGAATAACTCTTGTTAAATAACTTAAATTTATATTTAAAAATCTACAATATAGTGTATTGCAAATGACATTTTCCATTAAGGAAAATAGCTCAAGCCTGTTGAACTTTTATATTCTGATGTAAGTCCCATCAGGGTTCATAAAGAGTAAATTTGTTCTTATTATCTTCTTGTCCTAGCGCCTTGAGACATTCTCCTGACATAAAAGGCGCTATTCAAATATAATCTTGTATTGCATTGTATTGTATTATTATAACAGTATGTGCTTGTGGGAAACTAACTCTTTTTTAAAAAATTCTGTTCCTCTTGTGTCTTTCTATATGTCTGGATGTTGAATCTATTTTATGTGAGAAAGTTCATTCAGTCAGTTGTGTTTCATCAGGTGCAACAGCATTTGAAGATATAAAGAGTGATGATCCTTATCATCCCTCTGCTGTTGTGCTAAACAATCTTTCTGAAAATGTCACAACTGACCTGCTGATTCTCTTTGTGGAGAACAACAGTAGATTATCAGAGGGAGAAGGTGACTTTACCTTAGAAATGTTGAGCGATATTGATGCTGCTGTTGTGATCTTCAAAAAAACTATTGGTAAGATACAGTACTTTACTGGTAAAATACAATCCTGAATTACGCATTGATTGTTTTTTGGATTAAAATTGGTGGTAGTGTGTGTGTCCTACACTTAAAGTTTACTACTAAGCATTTGTTCTTCAAACAATAAATGGAGCAATGTATTTTGGACAATAGTTTGGACCAGCAGTTAGGACCATTTTGCTACCAGTTGCTCAGGGAACTGCAAGAATTATTTAACAACAACAACAACAACAACAAGATTCCATTTATAAAGCGCCTTTCACGTCAGGAGGACGTCCCAAGGCGCTGCACAGTTGGGTCATGACCCGAGCAGGGGGGAAATGGTCAGGGTGAGGGGAGGGAAGGGAGGGAGCGAGGAGGGGGAAGAGAGTCGAGAGGGGAGCTGAAGGCACGGTCAAAGAGAAAGGTCTTGAGACCGGCCTTGAAGGAGGAAAGGGAGGAGGCGGCGAAGGCACTGGGGGATGGAGTTCCAGAGCCTGGGGGCTGAGAGGCTGAAGGCCCGACCACCGATGGTAGGGCGGTTGGGGCGGGGGATGTGGAGCAGACCGGAGCCGGAGGAACGGAGGGTACGGGCAGGTAGGTAGGGGGATAGTAGGTTGGAGAGGTAGGAGGGAGCAAGGCCGTGAATGGCCTTGTAGGTGAGGATGAGGATCTTGAATTCGATCCTCTGGGGATGGGAAGCCAGTGGAGGCGAGCGAGGGTGGGAGTGATGTGGTCCCGAAGCCTGGTGCGGGACAGTACACGAGCTGCAGAGTTCTGAATGACCTGCAGCTTGTGGAGGGAGGTGGCGGGAAGGCCGGCGAGGAGAGAGTTCCCGTAGTCCAGCCTTGAGGTGACAAATGATGGAAACATTTCTGAATTAATGATAAAATTAACAGACTGGAGTTCCCAAAGGTCAACATGACAAGGTAGTTTTTCCTATAGTTGCAGGCAGTATATGGAGGATAACATATCAAAAGTATTTATGAAAGTACTTAGATAACACCCTATCTCTGACAACAAATGTTGTTTATTCTGTAAGTCCAGAGAAGGCCCAAGAGCTCCCACGAAGACAACTGTGAGTCAAGAGTTAAATATGAAAAGAAGGTTCAAAGAAACAAATGATAATTTAATTTAAGTATTGAACATCAATATGGGATTATTTTGTTGGAATATAGAAGACAAAATTACAATTTAAATTAAGATAGTAAGACGTCTTTATCAGAGGTCTTTGTGTTGGCCTTTGGGTTAATATTATTTTCTACCCTATGCTTATAAAATAAATAATAATAATCCTTGCATTTACTTGTCTTATCAAGTAATTGAGATCTCTCAAAGCGCTTCACAGAATATACTGTAAAGTTGTGTGACTATACAGAGTCCCTTAAGCATAGTGTGTGTGCATTTGCCTCTGGTTCGATTCCCGGGCAGGGTAAAATCTTAGGCAAGTTTCCTGACTACACACACCTCTTTTTACCCAGCAGTAAGTAGGAACCTGGTTGTTAGTCGATTGGTGGATCGCTTTCCGGAGGGTAATAATCTCCAAAAGTGTATTTGTTTACTCAATCCATGACTTTTTGTGGGACACTGCTGTGCGCAATTGGCTTTCGCATTTTATCCACAAAATACACAGTCTACAATATACACTTTACAATATATTCTGTGAAGCGCTTTGAGACATCTCAATGACACGGTAAGGTGCTATATCAAATGCAAGGATTATTATTATGTGGATTTTATGGACAAAATCTTATTAGCAAAAGGGGGATTATATTAGTTCTTTTGATGTTTGTTTTCTTTCACATGAAGGTGGACACTAAGACCCTGCTGCTAGTAAAATTGTAATGCCAAATATCTTCTGACAGAATTGTCAATGCATGTAAAATAGTAGTAAAACTATGAGTAGTAAAACAGAAAAACAATTTAATTACCTAACAATTCACCAATATTTGCAGATATCATTTTATTCACAATCATGTATACCACTATCATTTGTAGAAAGTCTCTATAAAACTATTGAATATTTACTGTTGAATATTTTAACAATTTAAACTTTTAAAAATGTATAATTTTGTATATTTATTTGAATCTTTTTAGATATTTTTGAATTCATTGCAAAATGTTCTGGTAAAGTTATCGAAAGGAAAAAAATTGTTGCAAAGCATTTGGAAATCACAAGGAGTATCCTTGTTGAAAACCTGTCTCCTGCTGTGAGTGATGAACTGCTAAAGCTGTATTTTGAAAAACCGATCTATGGAGGCGCAGTTGTGAATGATATTGTTCTTGAAGACAGTTCAGCTATTATTTCCTTTCAAAATGCTAAAGGTAACAACTCCTTTAAAACTGATTAGGTATTGATTCACATGAAGTGTACAGTACTATTTCTATATGTTTCTGTAATTTTTTCCCAATGATAATTATTTGTGTTTAATTTTCCAGATTTGGATTCAATTCTGGATAAGGATCATGTGGTTGATAAGAAGCCAATCCTTGTCTATCCCTATTATAAGTCCTTGGCTTCAGCTCTATATGGAAACAAAGGACCAGTGGTGAAAATGCCAGATGCATTTCCTGTGACTGTCAATCCGTATATCTTGAATTTTCTCAGGGATAAAAGATATATTGGAGAAATCAATGACAAAATGTCCAAATGCTATTGTGATGTTGTGTGGCCAGACCTGGGCAAACCAAACATCATCAAGTTATTACCTTCTTTCTCAAAAGTAGTGAAAGGATTGACAAAACTGACAAAGGTTTGGAAGAAGGAAGCTTTAGATACTATAACATCCATCTTGTTAAAATACACCTTTGCTGAAAATAATATTAGTTTGCCAGTCTGGAAAGCAGTACAGCCAGAGATTGACCAACTGTCGAATCAGAACGTGTCTGTTGTATTAGACATGCCACTAGGGAAAGTGATATTAGTCGGGGAGTACAATCCAGTCAATGAATTGAAACAGCAAATGAGAAACATCATTGAAATCGCTTTTCGAAAACAAGAAAGGGAAAATCAAAGTATTTCACAAACAATAGATCTTAGTCCAGCTATGTATACTTTCCTGCAACACAATGATCTTCAAGAAAATCTTTCTATTCGATTTGCTGATCTTTGGATGAACTATGATGCCACCACTGGATCCTTAATTCTTTGTGGTTTACAACATGAAGTGCATGGAGGCAAAAGCTATGTTTTACAAGAACTTATTAATTTAAAACAGAAACAAATAGAAATGGATAATTTACTTATCTGTTTTCTACAGATGGTGAAAAATAATGAAAGTTGTCACCGAATATTTACCTCCCTTGGAATCAATGCAGTGTATGAAATAAAAGATAATGGCTTGGTCTTGTACGGGAAGGAAAACAACATTCTCTTTGAGGCAGAAAGAAGCCTGGAGACCATTTTTAATATCAAGCAGATTGTTGTAGAGAATAGAGATCTCATTGCAAAGAGAGAATGGAAACAACTACTCAAGGAATTAGACAAAAAGTTAAACTATTCCCAGAAAATATTTGAAATTGAGGAAATGCCATTTGGTACAGGGGTAAGGATAGCTATTTTTGGTTTTTCCGATGCTGTCAACCAAGTATTTGAACATCTTGATGATTTTGTCAACAAAAATGCATTCATAAAGAAATTCATTGAAGTGGAATCCAGTGCTATGTTGGGGTTTTTGGTTCACTTTCAGAAGATTACCTCATTGCCTCACACTGAGAAGAAAGATGTGAAAATTGAGGTTAATGAAAACCAGATGAATATTAAACTCTCTGGACCACGGGAGCACGTGTGTGATGTAGAGGATTTCATTAGGAAAGAAATATCCTTGTTATCCTTCAGTGTTTTAAATCTCACTGAACCAGGAATAAAAATATATTTCAAAGAAGAGAAAGATATACTTGCTGCCTCAGTAATGCAAAAATTCCACTGTGTGATCAAATCACAAGAAAAACATTTCTTGAAAAGTGACAATAAAGAATCCTCTCAGCTTTGTTACCAAGTACAGTTACCTGATGGGCCTTTGGTTGCTGTTTTGAGGGGAGATTTATGTGGTCATCATGTTGATGTGATTGTAAATGCAGCAAATGAAAATTTACAGCATATTGGGGGCCTTGCAGGAGCAGTATTAAAAGCAGCAGGGCCAATGTTGCAGACAACTTGTGACTATATCATCAAAACACAAGGAATTCTCAAACCTGGTGATGCAGTCATTACAGATGCAGGTAACTTGCCATGCTCCAGTGTTATTCATACAGTTGGCCCAAGATGGGGAAGTAATAACAAAGAAACGTCTGTGAAGTCTTTGAAACGTGCAGTGAAGGAGAGCCTACGACTGGCAGAAATGTATAATCTTAGATCAATAGCAATTCCTGCAATTAGCTCAGGAATTTTCGGCTTTCCCTTAAAATTGTGTGCAGAAATAATTGTCCAATCGATTAAGGAATTTTGGAAAGATTCTAAAGGAAGACTTAGCCTTCAAAAGATTGATCTTCTGAACAATGATAGGAAAACTGTTGAAGCTGTTTTAGATGCAGTTCAAAGGGAATTTGACGTTTACATAAAAACTCCTTCCATGGGGCAAAGTAAAACGGAGCTCAGAGTTCAAGAAACTGGAAATGTCAACCAAGAGAAAGCCCTCACAAAGAAAGATCCAAATGTCCAAATTGTAACATCATGTATTCAAAATATGAAAGTAAGTTATCTTTGTCATATTGATATAGTGCAAATGGAATGAAGTAGCTCTATGTTAGATAATTCAACTCATAAATCACAAGACTGCCCAGTCTTTTGTGATGATTTCTCCTTTGAACTTTCCTCTCTAAGCTTTAAGTGATGGCACCTCTCTGTTTCTCACAACCTGGCTTGTTTTTTATTGTATTAGTTTTACAGTAATGTTGCTAAATTAAATTACTGCTCGTCTACATGTTGCTATTAAACTCTAAATGACCTTCCCTCACAACTCTCTTTGCTAAATTCTTACATTGTTGAAATCAAAGCACATCATACTATTTCCTTTCTCCAACATATTTTTTCAAGCACCTCAAGAGTGCAAAATTCCTTTTAATGTTTTGCCCACAAAATATACAGTCAATTCACTTTACAGTATATCCTGTGAAGCGCTTTGAGAAGTCTCGAAGACTTGAAAAGGCGCTATATCAAATGCAAGGATTATTATTATTATTTTATCCTTATTTTTCTACCTTTTCTTCCTGCAGAAAATAATTACCCTAATTAGGCTAGTTATTATTTTATTTTGTATTATTTATTATTAGTTATTAATGTAACTAACAAAAATCAATGTTGATATTTCAGACAGATGTTATTGTTACTTCAGTTGGCCCGGATTTGTGCCTTAAAAAAGGAGCTATTTCATTTGCAATATACAATAAAGCTGGTCCAATGCTTCAACAATTGTTAATGAAAGAAGCTAATGGAAACGTTCCTGAAGGAGATATCATTATAACAAAGGGATGCAATCTTAACTGTGATGTTGTCTTTCATGTCATTGTTCCTAAGTGGGATAAAGGAACTGGAAATGCATCAGAGGTATGTATATTCTAACCAACTAGTGACTATCCTCCTTGGGGGAGAGGTAAGCGGGGTATCCTTGGCGCTGAATTGGCTCCAAAGTGACATGCCTCTGTGGCGGTCTCAGTAGTCCGATTCCTCAGCCAGGCAGGTCCACAGTATTCCAGGGTACTGCTGATGACAGTACTGGCTCATCAGCAGGACCTGGAAGGGCAGACCAGTGACTGAAGGCAGTCATCCCCCTGTTAACCCTGCAAGCGAAAGCCATAGTGGGTAGGGTGGTCCTAGCAGCCATTTCCATGTGTAGGTGGGATGCATGGAAATCTCAGTTTGGTTTGGATACTCTTAAGCATAGTGATGGGTTTCTGCTTGTGTCAGACACCCACCCCCCAAAAAAATTATATATATTCTGACGTCAATATCTTAAGAGTAATAGACACACTTAGGGGAATAACTGTTATTTATTTTACAGATCCTGAAACACATCATATCAAGTTGTTTGCAGAATGCAGAAGCATTGCAGCTCAAATCAATCTCATTCCCAGCTATTGGAACTGGCCTTCTTGGTTTTCCAAAAAGTCATGTTGCTAATATAATGTTTGAAGAAGTCTCAAAATTTACCAGTGTTTATCATCCAAAGTTTCTGCAGGATATTTATTTTGTGTTGCATCCCAATGATGAACAAACTATAGCAGTAAGCATTTTTTTTTTAGGAAATATAGTTAAGATCTCTTTGAAGACTCATTTAATCACAAACTTCAGTACTGTCATAAAAAATGTATCTAGTTGTTGAAATACAATATTCATTATATACAATATACAATCTTGTGTAAGGATTGTTATGGTTTTCCAGATATGCTGTTAAATATAATACAGGATAATTGTGTAATTAAAACAGTTTCTTGCTAACTTTAATAAACATTGGTGTTGCATGTAAGCATCCATATCTACAGTGCACTTTAAGTACCATCTTAAAGTTATATTTAACAAACGACCTGCTAAGAATAGAAGTATTGTAATTTAAAGAAAAATTTACAATTGGTATAAAATTTTATTTGTTTTTTTGGACTTAACTGTCCTGGAAGATTACACATAATTATAATCATATAACTGTTAAGAATATAAGTGTGGGGAATGGTGATCCTGGCTCGTTTAATTTAACTATTATTAATAAAAATTTTGGATTATTTTAGGCATTTTGTACGGTATTCAATTACCCGGCTCCCAAACAAATGTTAGCATCTGCTAGGGTTGAAAAAAGATTCACAGGTACGTATCATTTCATAAAAGAATTAAATGATTATAACTGGAACATATTTTAATAATTGGAATATAACCTAGTACATGTACAAACATGCAAGTTCATAGCCCTTAGTCTTTTACAGTTTAAAAATGAATTCACCAAACACATTTGTTATCTGTAAGTTTCAAGCATCTTTTGTTAATGAATGGCAATAAGTAATGTTGCAATGATCACTTCTCTTCCAGAGCAAGTCTTTGGAAGAACTTCCTTACCCAAAGAATATTTAGCTGAAATGAAAGTGGGAGAGATTTTGCTGCAAGTTGTACTTGGAGACATAACAAAGGAGACCACTGACATCATTGTGAATTCAACAGCTTCCTTTGAAATGAAAACAGGTAGAATAGAATTTTTCGATGAGGTAATGGAGAGGGTGGATAAAGGTAGTGCAGTTGATGTCGTTTATATGGACTTTCAAAAGGCATTTGACAAAGTGCCACATGAAAGACTTGTAAGAAAGATATAAATCCATGGTATAAAAGGGACAGCGGCAGCATGGATCCAGAACTGGCTGGGAGACAGAGAGCAGAGAGTTGTGGTGAACGGCTGCTTTTCTGACTGGAGGGAAGTGTACAGTGGTGTCCCCCAAGGATCGGTATTAGGACCATTGCTCTTCTTAATATACATAAATAATCCAGACTTGGGTATAGCAAGCACCATTTCCAAGTTTGCGGACAACACAAAGTTAGGCAAGGTAGTAAACAGTGAGAAGGATAGCTGCCAAATACAGGAAGACATAGACAGAATGGTAAAATGGGCAGACACATGGCAGATGAGTTTCAATGTGGAGAAATGCGAGATAATGCATTTTGGAAGAAAGAATGAGGGGAGGCAATATAGGCTGGTAATACAATCTTAAGGGGGGTGAAAGAACAGAGAGACCTGGGGGTTCAGGTAAATGAATCCTTGAAGGTGGCAGGACAGGAAGATAATGCTGTAAAAAGGGCATATGGGATACTAGGCTTTATAAATAGGGGCATAGAGTACAAGAGTCAGGAGGTTATGATTAACCTGTATAAAACACTTGGTTAGGCCTCAGTTAGAATACTGCGCCCAGTTCTGGGCGCTACACTATAGGAAGGATGTTAAGAAATTGGAAAGGGTGCAGAGGAGATTTACGAGGATGGTACCAGGAATGAGGGACCTTGATTATGAGGAAAGGCTAGTGAGGCTGGGATTATTCTCATTGGAGCAGAGAAGGTTACGAGGAGACCTAATAGAGGTTTTCAAAATCATGAGGGGATTTGATAGGTTAGAAAGGGAAAAACTTCAAATCCAGCAAGGATTTTCATTCAGCCAGTGTAACATATTAACTTTTTATTGGGAGCTATTAACCAAAGATACAACTTAAAGCCCACTCTCAGAAATACTCCAGTACACCTCACCCTGAAGTGTTGGGATGTGGGTCTGTATCTCCGCAGAGAGTTCCTGAATTCAATTGTGCACCTGTTACCAATTTCCACCTTTGACAAGAGGAAAGGAAACATGGGACCTTTTATATTTATATTTTGCCCACAAAATATACACTCAATTCACTTTACAATATATTCTGTAAAGCGCTCTGAGACTTCTCAAATGCGGGATAAGATGCTATATCAAATGCAAGGATCATTATTTATTATTATTTATTAATGCTGGTTAAATTTTAATAGAGTCCCATCACTTGACCACAAATTGAAAATTCATATTTGTTTCTCTTGCTATATTGAGAGGCCAGAATTCATAGTGACAAACATAATGGATAGTTATAAATAATCCCATCCTTCAGATGCTGTGCACAAAATGGCTGCCATGTTCACCCACAAAATAGATTGTAGCATCCTGTAGCTCAGTGTGGTCCAACAGATGGCACACGGGCCACCAGCGGCCCAGGGGGTGATTTTATGCGGCGATGGGGTAGGAGAGAGAGAGCGGGAGAGAGAAGTGGGGAGAGAGAGAGAGGGGGGGAGGGGAGAGAGAGGGAGGAGAGAGACGGGGAGAGAGAAGTGGGGAGAGAGAGGAGAGGCGAGTGTACGTGTGTGAGAGGTAAGAAAGGGGGAGCAAGAGAGAGACTGAGAGAGTGATTGAGAGGGGGAGAGTAGCGAGAGATTGAGAGGGTGTGTGAGAGGGGGAGAGTGTATGGGAGAGAGTGCGTGTGAGAGAGAGGAGAGGGCGGAAGAGAGAAGGAAAGAGGAGAGGTGGAGTGTGAGAGGGTGTGAAAAGGAGAGTGAGAGAGTAATTGAGAGATAGAGAGAGTTTGAGAGAAGGAGAGAGTGCCCTCCTCCCTCCCCCTTCTTTCTCTCCCGCTCTCCCCCCCTCGCCCCCCTCTCCTAAGCTCTCCCCACTCTCCTGAGCTCTACCCCTCCCTCTCTCTACCCTCTCTTCCCACAAGGCGATTATGGAGCCTTGACAGAGGAAAAGATAAGAAATCAAATTGTGATCAGAATTAAAGCCAACAGAATAAGGAGCAAGCTTTTGAAACAGGAAGACTTGAGTTTACAGAAAGTGGTACAAATAAATAAATGTCAGAAATGTCAGAAGAAAACTTGAAAGAGTTTAAACTAAATGTAGAACAAGAGATGGGCATTGATGAACTGGCTAAGAGGAGTTGGAATAATACAGATGAAGAATATGGAGCACAGCTAACATATAGACCTAGAAGAAAAACACATAACAAGGAGACATGAGAGCAATTTGGACTATAACACACTTTCAGACGATGTCCAGTGGAAGGGAGAGTATGTTATATTTGCAACTAAAATGGGCATTATGCCAGAAAGTGCAGAAATGGTAATACACAAAACACAGGAGAATTTTGCAAGGTACAGAATACTAGAAATAGTGATAAGTGACAATGGACCACAGTTTGTAAATGAAGAATGTAGGGAATATAGGGAGAAAGAACAGTGCAAACAATCAAGAAAATGTTGAAGAAAGCAGAAAATGCAAAAGAAAACGAGCATCTAGCAATTTTAACTGAGAAATGAAAGGTCACCGGCACATATGTTAATGTCAAGGCGACTAAGGGACAGAGTAATATGTGGAGAAAACAGATTAACATCGCAACTGTAAAGAAAGAATAGAAACGCAAAACAAAAGGGAGAATGAAAAGAGAAAAGCTTCAAAATAAAGGAGACGGTGTGAAAGAAGAAAATCAAAACAGAGGGGTGGACAAAAGGGAAAATAGATAAAACCAGATAAACAACCAAGATCATATTGGATAGAAGATAATAATGGAAACAGATACATAAAAATGTTGTGAGAGATGAGAAAAAGAGCTACGGATGACAAGAAGAATGAACAATAATAGATGACCAAAGATAGATCAGAGGAAAGAGAGACAAAGCGACAACATCAGGAAGAGAGATTAGACTGCAAGCAAGATTAATAGCAGGTTAAAGAAAAACTGAAGAAAGGAAGGTGTTCGATACTCCTTTAAGAGAAAATGGACAATTAACAAAGAGCTAATGAGAAGAAGGGCAGGAAGTATAAAAAGGACTCTGGGAGTGGAACAAAATGTGTGTGATTGAGAATAGTGTGTGCTTGGAAAGCCAAATAAAGAAGCTACAAAACGCACCTTTGATTTGGATCAAGTAATATTACACTGTGGGACTACTGCTGTGGAGTAGCTACTACTCAACTTCACAGAAACCGCTGTTTCCATTAAAGCTGTTGATAATTCAAATAATTTTAATGGTTGCATATCAAATGTTAAAAGCATTGTTTTGAAGTATTTATTTACTTTCAAAGGAACCAACAGACAGGAAATAATCACAAAAGGAGGATCTTTGCTTTGCAAAAATACAATTCATCTAATTGCACAAGAGGAACCTGAAAAAACCAAGAGTGGTGTTGTCAAAGCTCTTCACATTTGTGAAACAAACAGAATCCCTTCCATTACATTTTCCACAATTGGAACAGGTTTGATTTCATATCTTTTTTTAAAAAATTGTGAAATAATGTAGTTATTTATGCTGAATATCTGTATAATCTATAACAGGACAGATTGGAATTAACCCTTCATTGTTTGCTGATGCGATGATACAAGGAGTGGCAGAGTTTGCAAACCAGGAACAAGTCATTTTCTTGAGCGTTGTTCGAATAGTCATTTCTAATCCCCAAACGTTTGATGATTTTCGTAAGAGTATGCAGAAAAGAGAGGGCACCAGGCTGACTGAATCAGAATCCATATTCACAAAGACAAAAAGTAAGTGTCAAAAAATATATATTTACCTAAAAGTTAATTTTATGTCTTTGTTTTTTACTTAACAGTATTTCTGATCCTCCTGTTAGATCGATTGACATCATTCATTTTTGGAAACAAAATCAAGGAAAATAAAAGGAAGCGAGAATTGATCATTTTGGCAGATCTAATCGAGCCAGCGATTATTCATATTTGTGGAGAAAGCGAACAAGAAGTAAAAAATGCAGAATCTTGGCTGAAAGAGCTTGCTTTAAATCAGCTTGATGGTCAGGTCATTACTAATGATCTCTTATATGGATTTGGTAAAAGAGAACATGAAGAATTGAGATGTCTACAAAAACAGCTACAAGTCAAAATAGAGTTTGAATACAAACAATCTGTGGTCGAGATCAGAGTTTGCGGTCTGAAAAGAAATGTGTCCTCTGCCGGTTTTAAAATTCATCAGATGATGGAGGATGTTAGAAAAGAACAGGAAAGAATCAATGATGAGGAACTGATCAGCCACATGGTGCAATGGCAATTTAAAGACGGCAATCAATTTATGCCATTTGACAATGCCACAAACTTCAAACTGGAAAATGCATTTATAATGAAGGAAAATTCTGTTGTGATAGAAATCCATTCCAAGACAGTTACTGTGGATTTTAACAATAATACTGCAGAAGACATCAATCACAAGAAGTTTGCTGTAAAGCGTGTCTTGCTGGCAGAAGGTAAACTAATTTAGGAAAGTATTCCCAAGCGGAAACCTTTTTCCAATTGTAACACAATTTCAGCTTGGTGAAACAGTGCACTGTGTCTGTATGGAATAATTATGAGAAAAACAATATTATGTTTTTTAATCTATCAAGGAGAGGATAAAAACATTCCAAATCACTGGGAAGATATGAACGGGTTGCAATTTAAAGAAGTTGAGCTATCAAGAAGTTCACAGGAATATGTTGATGTAACGACTTCATTTCTGAAGACCTCTGCTCATTATACCATAGTCAAGGTACAGCTACATAACCTTTTAAAAATGCATTTTTTAAAGGGTGTTTTATTTAATAGTTGTTTGATAATAGAAATAAAACACAAAACTTTTTAAAACTTATTTTTAGATGCCCTGCTTTGCTGCCAGTTCTAGCAGGGTAGGAGATAACCAGAATAAATTTAAAATATTTTATTCTTTCTGATTTCATTTAAATCAGTAAAAAAACTGGGAGAAGATAGTTATTATAATTGGTGCTATAACTATGATTACATTTGTTCTGAATTCATATTCTCTGCACAGATCAAACGAATACAAAACCTATCTCTTTGGAAAAAATACCTGCTTGAAAAGAAAACAATAAGTGAAAAAAATGCTCTTGGAAACAAAAATGAAAGGATTTTGTTCCATAAACCGACTCGGCAGTCAGTGGAGATGATTAGCACTCGAGGTTTTGATCGTAACTTCACAGAACTGCCAGGTATGGATTCAAGCCAACCTTTTTTATAGCAGCTGTAGCGTAATTTTCATAAATCCTAGAAAAATCAATCTTAGGTTACAAGAAAATATATGCCAGATTATTTGATGGTTATTTTCTAATTTCTGATTTCATTTTCATAGAATCATAGAATTATGCAACACAGAAGGAGGCCATTCGGCCCATCGTGTCTGTGCTGGCTCTTTTAAAAGAACTGTCCAGATCAATCCCACTCCCCGCTCCCACCCCATAGCCCTGCAAACTTCTCTCTTAAAAGTTGTTATCAAATCAGCTTCCACCACCCTTTCAGGCAATACATTCCAGATCCAAACAACTCACTGTGTGAAAACATTTCTTCTCACCTCCCCACTGTTTCTTTTAACAACTATTTTAAATCAGTGTCCTCGGATTACTGACCCACCCACCAGTGGAAATAGTTTCTCCTTTTTCACCCTATCGAATCGCCTCATAATTTTGAAAACTTCTACTAAGTCTCCTCTTAACCTTCTCTGCTCCAAGGAGAATAATCCTAGCTTCTCTCGCCTCTCCTCACAGCTGAAGTCCCTCATTCCTAGTACCATCCTGGTAAATCTCCTTTGCACGCTCTCCAATGCCTTAACATCCTTCCTAAAGTGTGGAAGCTAGAACTGAACACAGTACTCTAGCCGAGGCCTTACCCATGTTTTCTCCTTGTTTTTGACCTCACTGAACTTCATGGAATCTGTGAACTATCCACTCTAACAATCCAGAGTGGCTTGCACTCTGATATACACAGCACTCTCACTCCAATGGCAATGAAAACCCATTTTGATATGCAATATCTGAGTGAAAATAATTATCAGCAATTAGATAAGTCTCTAGTCTTATATTGAAAATAAATCATTGTATAGTTAACACAGCTTAGTACTGTCTGGTCTGTAGAATTCTAACCAGTCAGCAAAGGGTCGACATTTACCTTACTTTCTCATATCTACAGTGACTGAATCTGCAGCACAGGCAGATTTTAGACAGATTTTGGGGAGGGAGTTGAGAAAAGGTGATTTGGAAGGTATTTTTAATTTGCGTAAATATGGCGGTCTTGATTCTTAGCTAATTTACAAAATGAAAATAATCATTCTACTTATTTATGGTACATTTATGTTGCAGAATACTTGCTCAAATAAACCAGCTCTAACATGGGCCAAACAACCAGAATACTCATTTACTTTCTTTCCTTTTCGTTCCTTTCCCCTCACGCATGCGTATTTTTAAACATGGTATTTATTCATTGTGTCAGCTTGAAAGAGTGAGAGACTAAGTAGACCTACCAGGATTCAAACCAGGGCAATTTGAAAAGAAATCCTAGTTAAATATGAAACATCAAGAATAGAAAACTGTTTTTCTTGAAACACTATGAACTATTAAAGACTAGTGTTTCATAACTTTAACCTTATCTTTTTCTATGTGGCACAAGATCAAATTGTTTGATTTTCAATTAAAGAATGAAATATACTCAAGCATTGAACAAATTAAGTACACTCAAACTTTTTTTGTTGTTGTCTTTCCACCTTGAATTCACAGTATATGGCAAAGGCTCTTATTTTTGTACGGAAGGAGCATCTTCAATTCATGATACCTACAGCAGTATTAAAGCAAATCGAGCAATACACAGATTGAAGTACATGTTTCGTGCCAGAGTTATCACAGGAGAATTCTGTCAAGGAGTGAACAACATGATAGTTCCACCTGTAAAAAACACCTCGTATCCAACAGATTTGTATGACAGTGTGGTTGACAACCCATTGGTTCCTTCACTGTTTGTAATTTTCAAGGATATTCAAGCATATCCTGAGTATTTCATTGAATATTACTGATAACTAATTTACAGCATTAAACTGTAATGCAATACATGTTCATTTCAGAATACAAAAAAGATAGTGTGTATATTTTGGGAGAGATCCTACAAGCTTATGGTTGGGAGAGCTGAGACAATTTCAGTGCTTATATTGACTTGTAATCTTTTTTTTCTCCCTTCTACATTCCCTCAAGATCATATAATATTCCCCAGCCAAGAGGGGAGTAGGGACCTGCTCCCACTTCTCTGCCAATGTAACTGTTTGTGCGCATTTATTGTAATAGATTTGTAGGCAAATATCATTTGTGGGCAAGTAACAGGCTTAGAGAACAAAATTCATGGAGCAATATAATGATGATAATTAAGAAATGATCTGACTTGCAGTTTGATTCCAGTCAACTCAGAGGAGATTATGTTTTATTTGTTTGTTTGTTATCTTTCTTCTCCCTGTCATAAAATCTGCTGAAAATACTTTAAATATTATAAAGTAACATAAAAGAAAGGTTGTAGTTGAATTTACTGTTGGAAATGTAGCCACACTTTTCAATTAAATGACTATTTTATGCAGTTAAATATTTTGTAGCGGTGTTAATAAAACATTATGTCTTAGAATGTCAAGGTCAGCCTTTGCTATCCTGCTTCTGACATAACTTTTCCCGCATTGGAGAAGTCTTGACAATGTTTTTTTTGCATCAACATCATGTTCCTTGTTTCTTTCCATAAAGATATTAAATGCCCAATGACAGACTTTGTGATTCCTTCTTCATTCCTCGTGACAGGCTCTGCCACTCCACCCTTATTCCTGCAGCAGTTTGTGCAGTTATTGTGCAGTAGACACACAAATCTACTTCTCCTCCAGCTGCAGGTCCGCCGATGTTCTCTCGGCTTGTCTGGCGGACATCAGGCCTGGATGAGCGAAAACTTCCTACAACTCATTGTTGACAAGACAGAAGCCATACTCATTGGTTCCCGTCAATGTCTTCTATCCTGCAGCTCTGACCTCCTCAACCTCACCAGCCTATCCCTCAGACTTACCAAATACAACCTAGAGGTCAGGTTCAATCCACAGCTGTCTTTCCCTCGCCACATCTGGTCCCTAAACAGGACCACCTTCCTCCTCCTTCACTACATTACCCGCCTCCAACCATGCCTTACCTCAGATGCAGCCAAAATACTTGTCCCTGCATTCGTCACCTCCCGACTTGACTTTTCAAATGCCCCCTCTGTCGGTCTCCCCAGCTCCACTATGCACAGGATCCAGCTGATCCAAAACTCCACCACCCGTATACTCACCCGTAATAAATCCCATCACACCAGTTCTAGCCAGGATCCGGGGAGGTTGAGGAGGTCTAGCCTGGTTGTTGTTGTACCCCAACATCTAGAGCTCAGTACTGTCAAAAAAGGTAAAAGTGTCTTTCAACTTTCTGAGAAAGAAATCTACAGGGTATCTTTCAGTTATTAGAACTGGGGGTGTAGGATATCCTTTTAAGAAGTAAAAAGCAATTAAGAAAGAGTCAATGAGACAGGAATTGGTGGAACCATCGCTCAATGGAGTCCTGTAGCTCAGTGGTTAGAGCACTCGCTTTGCAAGTGAGACCTGAGTTCAATTCCAGGCAGAGCAAATGAAAGGATTATTATTATTATTATTAATGGGACAGAATGTGTTCCTGAGCTGTGGACAAGAAGATGATGGCAATGTTCGCCCCACTGGGAAGTTCACAGGGAGTTCCTGGTACCTACCATCAATGTAGTTAGGGCTTAAACCCACGCTTGTCGGATGTTGATCGACCAACTGGTGACTCTTCCTTGGAGGGGAAGCAAGTGGGGTCTTTTGGAGCTGAACTGGCTCCAAGGTGATATGCCTGGCAATGGAATGTCGGAATTGAGCCAACCCTCTGTGGCGGTCTCGATAGTCAGGTTCCTGAGCCAGGCAATTCCACAGTATTCCAGGGCATTGCTGATGACAGCACAGCCTGGCTCATTGGCAGAACCTGGAAAGGCAGACCAGTCACTGGGGGCAGGGAGTCATCCCACTCAGCTCCTGTTAATCCTCCAAGCCCTGGATAGGACAAGCAGCGGGAAAGCTTGCCAGACAGCAATATCAATGGCAAGCTTTGTGGTTTTAGCTGGTTAGACTCCAGCAGTACCCCAAGGGGTCCCGAAGCCTTGGCTCTCGCTATCCTGCGCCTAATACTTTCCGGAATTAGGTAAGCAGGATGTGTCCCTCCAGGGAGAGAGTCTGCATTCCATTCCAACAATCTATCTCTGGGATTTCCATGGTGGGTGAGACGCATGGAAATCTCAGCTTGGTTTGAATACTCTTAAGCATGGTGATTGGTATCCGCACGTGTCAGACACCCGGCCGACCAAAAAAAGACAGGAAGTACAAAAGGACACTGGGAGTGGGATAAATTTGTGTGATTATGATTATTGGATTGGAGTGCTTTGAGTCAAGGATAAATTGACTTCTGAACACACGCAGGCTTTGAATTGAGAGTTATTACACAGTGTTAGAAGCAAACCAAACATGGAATGGAATAAAGTATGAGATGGGAAATGGACATTAAAAGAAGCAGAATGTATTCAGGAAGAATATTTTCAGATTAAGTGTAAATACTGGGACTGCTGAAGTTATTGGGAAATGTGAGACAATTGGCACTGGTTTGAAAGGGGTTTTCAGAATCTGCAATGGCCTCAAATTTGCTGCAACTGCAGCAAAGACAGCAAACTGCTATTTTCCTGAATGTAGCAGAAGAAACAAGAGAATACTTTGAGACTCAACAGTGGAAATGCCTCTGGAGGATATAATGAACATTATGTGAGTAAGGTGCCTTGGACAATGTGATTATTGCCCGATATAAATTTGGCACAAGAAAGCACCAGCCCATTCAACTATTCACCCATTATTTTGCAGTGTTTAGATTATTAAGCATGACATGCAACTATGAAGCATCTATGGCTTCCAACTATGGAGTGATGATCAAGGATCAGGTTGTGATTGGGATCAGAACCAACAGAATACGCGGTAAGCTTCTAAAACAGGAAGATTTGGCTTTGCAGACAGCATTACAGATAATAAATGTGGAATAATAACAAGAATAATCTTTTCATTTGATATAGCACCTTATCACGTCTTTAACACTTCTCATAGCGCTTCACAAAATATACTGTAAAATGTGATGACTATCTTTTGTGGGCAAAATGTAAATGTGGACATGAAGGATACTGAGCAAAATACGGAACAAGAAAGGGAAATAGATGAACTCACTAAGAATTAGAGCTATAACGACTTGGATGTGGAGTATGCAGTACAGCAGGTAAACAGACCACGACAGGACAAATCCAAAAGAAAAGTGAGAAATGCAGATGAGAGCACTCTTCCAGATGATGTCCAGCGAAGGGAAGGAATGTTATATTTGTAATAAATATGGGCACTATGCAAGGAAATGTGAAAATAGACATCAAGAGCCCTGAGAGGAAATATAAAACAAGGCAAGAGTTCTCAGGAGAGAAGGATTCGAGCCAGAAAGAAATACAAAAGGACAAACATACAGAGAACAAGAATAGTGAGTGAGATCAAGGTGCAATAAAATGGTGGACAGCTCGAATATGGAATCCAGCAGTAATGAAAAGGAAGACAAGTACATTATTGATGTGATTTGAATACAGTAGACGAGGATGATGATAAGAAAGAATCTGTGAAGAAACATGCCTGAGAGGTTACCTCTATGTCTAACAGTGTGAGTGGTAACATTGAGGGAGAAAAACAGATCAATGACTGGAATAAAAGTGATGAGTAGCAGAATAGGGAGCTGGAGGAGAGAAGCACACAGCAGAAGAACGAGCTGAGGAAGCTGGAGAAAAAGGAATGGAGAGGGATAAAGAAAAGATACACCAAAGGGGAAAGAAGACAAAAGCTGGAAATAGAAAAACAAGAATTTGAATAAAAGTGACAGCAAATGGGAGAGGATGAAGTCAATGATAACCCTAAAGTTTTGAATTTAGAATATGATGAGATTATGAACCTTAAACAGACTGGGTCTCTTCAAGTAAAGAACTTAAAACAAAGTTTGAAAAATGGGGAAGGTTATCAGTAGGAAAAAATGCAACAAAGAGAGAAGAAAAAAACATTAGAAGAGCAATGGATCTTGAAAAGAAAAAAGGAACTGAATCAGTTTAAAAAAGAAGAAATTTGGAAGCAAATTAAATACATTACCCTCTTATGATAACATGGAGGTAGATTCTGCTTCCAAATTTTATAATGGATTGGTCACTCAATCCATGACTGTTTGTGGGACGCTGCTGTGCGCAATTGGCAGCCGCATATCGCCCACAAATATACAGTTAAATCACTTTACAGCATATTCAGTGAAACACTTTGAGACATCTAGAAGACGTGAAAAGTGTTATATCAAATGCAAGGATTATTATTATTACAGTGACAGTCGCTATTGCCTGTCTCCCCTCTCTCCAGTCACAGTCTGTATTGCCTGACTCGCTCTCTCCAATCACAGGGTCTATGCCTGCCCCCCCCCCCCCCCCGCCCCCCCTCTCTCCTATCATAGGTTCTTTTGCCAATCACTCCTCTCCCCTGTCGCAGGCTCTATTGCTTGTCCCCACTCTCTCCAGTGACAGGCTCTAATGCCTGTCCTGGTTCTCTCCAGTCACAGACTCTGTTGCCTGACCCCCCTCCCTCCAGTCACAGGCTCTATTGCCTGTCCCCACCTTCTCCAATCACAGGCTCTTTTGCCTGACCACCATCTCTCCAGTCACAGGCTCTATTGCGTGTTTCCCTCTCTCTATTCACAGGCTCTGTTGCCTGTTCCCCCCTCTCAGCAGTCACAGGCTACATCCCTGTTCCCCTTCTCTCCAGTCACAGGTTCTATTGTTTGTCCCCACTCTCTCCAGTGACAGGCTCTAATGCCTGTCCCGGTTCTCTCCAGTCACAGGCTCTATTGCCTGTCACCCACTCTCTCCAGTCACAGGCTCCATTGCCTGTCACCCACGCTCTCCAGTCACAGGCTCCATTGCCTGTCCCCACTCTGTTCAATCACAGGCTCTTTTGTCTGTCCACACTCCAGTCACAGGCTCTATTGCGTGTCCCTCTCCAGTCGCAGGCTCTGTTGCCTGTTCTCCCTCTCTCCAGTCACAGTCTACATTGCCTGTCCCCACACTCTCCAGTCAGAAGCTCTATTGCACTTCACTCCTCTCTCCAGTGACAGGATCTAATGCGTGTGTCCCTTCTCTGCATTCACAGGCTCTATTGCTTGTCCCCCCTCTCTCCATTCACAGGCTCTATAGCCTGTCCCCCTCTCTCCAGTCCCCACACACTCCAGTCACAGGCTCTATTGCCTGTCACTCCTCTCTCCAGTGACAGGCTCCATTGCCTGTACCCACACTCTCCACTCACAGGCTCCATTGCCTGTCCTCACACTCTCCAGTCACAGGCTCTTTTGCCTTTCATTCCTCTCTCCAGTCACAGGATCTATTGCCTGTTATCCCTCTCTTCAGTCACAGGCTATATTGCCTGTCCCCACTCTCTCCGGTGACAGGCTCTGATGCCTGTTCCCCCACTCACTCCAGTCACAGGTTCAAGTGCATGTTCCCCCTCTCTCCAGTCACAGGCTCCATTGCCTGTCCCCACTCTGTTCAATCACAGGCTCTTTTGTCTGTCCCCACTCTCTCCGGTGACAGGCTCTGATGCCTGTCCCCCACACTCTCCAGTCACAGGCTCTTTTGCCTTTCCACTCTCTCCAGTCACAGGCTCTTTTGCCTTTCCACTCTCTCTCCAGTCACAGGCTTTGTTGCCTGTCCACCTTGTCTACAGTCACATGCTCTATTGCCTGTCCACCCTGTTGCCAGTCACAGGCTCTGTTGCCAGTCCACCCTCTCTCCAGTCACAGGCTCTATTGCATGTCCCCCTCTCTCCAGTCACAGGCTCTATTGCCTGTTCCCCCACTTTCCAGTCACAAGCTCTATTGCCTGTCCCCCTCTGTCCAGTCACAGGCTCTATTACCTTTCCCCCTCTGTCCAGTCACAGGCTTTATTGCCGGTCCCCTTCTGTCCAGTCACAGGCTCTAGTGCCTGTCCCCCTCTGTCCACTCACAGGCTCTATTGCCTGTCCCCCTTTGTCCAGTCACAGGCTCCATTGCCTGTCCCTCTGTCCAGTCACAGGCTCCATTGCCTGTCCCCTCTGTCCAGTCACAGGCTCTATTGCCTATCCCCTCTGTCCAGTCACAGGGATATTGCCTGTCCCCCTGTCCAGTCATAGTCTCTATTGCCTGTCCCCCTCTGTTCAGTCACAGGCTCTATTGCCTGTCCCCCTCTGCCAACTCACAGGCTCTATTGCCTGTCCCCCTCTGTCCAGTCACAGGCTCCATTGCCTGTCCCCTCTGTCCAGTCACAGGCTCCATTGCCTGTCCCCCTCTGTCCAGTCACAGGCTCCATTGCCTGTCCCTCTGTCCAGTCACAGGCTCCATTGCCTGTCCCCTCTGTCCAGTCACAGGCTCTATTGCCTATCCCTCTGTCCAGTCACAGGGATATTGCCTGTCCCCCTGTCCAGTCATAGTCTCTATTGCCTGTCCCCCTCTGTTCAGTCACAGGCTCTATTGCCTGTCCCCCTCTGCCAACTCACAGGCTCTATTGCCTGTCCCCTCTGTCCAGTCACAGGCTCCATTGCCTGTCCCCTCTGTCCAGTCACAGGCTCCATTGCCTGTCCCCCTCTGTCCAGTCACAGGCTCCATTGCCTGTCCCCCTCTGTCCAGTCACAGGCTCCATTGCCTGTCCCCCTCTGTCCAGTCACGGGCTCTATTGCCTGTCCCCCTCTGTCCAGTCATGGGTTCTATTGCCTGTCCCCCTCTGTCCAGTCACGTGCTCTATTGCCTGTCCCCCTCTCTCCAGTCACGGGCTCTATTGCCTGTCCCCCTCTGTCCAGTCACGTGCTCTATTGCCTGTCCCCCTCTCTCCAGTCACGTGCTCTATTGCCTGTCCCCCTCTCTCCACTCACGGGCTCTATTGCCTGTCCCCCTCTGTCCACTCACGGGCTGTGTGTCCCTGAGGCCGGAGCTGCTCGGCTCGGGTTGAGGGAATGCGCTTGCGTGGCCGGTGATTGCCGGGCGGGCGGTGCGGTGCGGTGCGGGCGGTGATTGCCGGGCGGGCGGTGCGGTGCGTGGCCGGTGATTGCCGGGCGGGCGGTGCGGGCGGTGATTGCCGGGCGGGCGGTGCGGTGCGGTGCGGGCGGTGATTGCCGGGCGGGCGGTGCGGTGCGGGCGGTGATTGCCGGGCGGGGCCGCGGGGCCTGTGCTGCCGCCTCAGGATGTGGTGCCTTTACATTGTGGCGGCGATGGTCTGTGGCGGCTTTGACCCGAGCACTGGCCATGTGTGTCAGCACCGTGTGCCCGTGTCCGGGGAGGTGAGTGGGTGAGTGGGTAAGTGGGTGATGGGCGGCGCTGAGAGCACTGATCGGCCTTTTTCATACTTGAATGCAAATTGAAGGATTATTGTTCAGGTTGACATTCCCCTCTGTGGTGGTGTTGTATTTGTCACCGACTCATCCGTTATATCGGGCGGTGCTGATTGTGAGGTGAGGCCGAGCCCCGGGGCCGTGTCCGCGGGTCTGAGGCTCCGGCGGTCACACTGACGGGGCTCAGGGCCGTTTATACTCGTGGTTTGGGGCGTCCAACCGGAACAGTGTGTGGCCCAACAGCTATTATATAATATAGCCAAACAACAACAACAACTTGCACTCACACCGCGCCCTTCAGGCGGACAGTGGCGGAGTCTGACCCCGAGCCGCGAAGTGACCATAAACACGATCGAAAAGTAATGTCTTTAGGTGGGATCTGGAGGGGCGGAGAGAGCGCCAGAGTTTCAGGGCGTAGCGGCTGAAGGCACAACCACCAGTGGTGGAGAAGAGGGGACGAGGGACAAACGGGAGGCCAGAGCCGAGACAACAGGTGGAGGCGTGGGGGGGGCGGGGAGCAAAACTACAGGCAAATACACTATTTGGTTGGTAGAGGTATTAAGGTCAGTCAATAATATGGTAAACGATAATAATCATTGCATTTAATATTGGGCTTTTTGTAGAGAGGATGTTTCAAAGAACGTCACAGGATTTATTGTAACTGTAGAGCTGTCTATGATGGTGAACGTGGCGGCTGGTCAGTGTGCGGCTGGTCTGTGTGCGGCTGGTCTGTGTGCGGCCGTGTCCCATGAATGAAGTGAAGAGGTGATGAACGGGTGGGACGTTGGGTTTAAAACATTCTCCAAGTTTTAATAAACTGGTGGAACAGTGGGCTGAATGTCCTCCTATTCCAGTTTTCCTGTTAAAGTATCATTCATTGTGTTTTGGTACTTTTATATTAATCTTTCTTCAATTTTTTTCCTAGGTGGTTTACCAAGTTTATTTAGAGCCAAATCAAATTGCTAAGAGAAGTATTGATCAGCAATTAAGAATCAAAATTGTATATGATTTAAGCATCGAATAGTGAGTATTTTCAAAATTCAAGTTAGTCATTTTAGGAATGTTGAATTCACCAAATTGAATTATTAGTTTTTAATAGTTTTTAACTTTGAAATTAATCAGTTTTATTTTAAAATTCTTATTGCAGTCTAACCTGGGATAAAAAACGTTTAGTAAAGGTATGTATAAAAAAGTTTTAATATCACTATTTAGCGCTCCGACATGTCTTTCCGACATGAAGGGAGCTTTACAAGTGTAATTTGTTGTTGTGTATTTTTTACCTATAAAGCACACTAAATTCTATTTTTATTATACTATTGCTTAAAAACACAAAATTAAACCAGTGATTTGTTTCTTTTAGATTTATAGGTCCAAATAAATATGTAAAATGGGTTTAAAGTTGAGACATATTCGATTATCTGAATACTCCGAAACGCTAAGAAAATATAGTAAATTTAGAATCAGATGGAATTTCTTCCCACTGATGTTTTTTGTCAAATTAGAATTAGGTTGGATAATTCTCATTAGATTTAACTCTAGTTGATGCATAACATAATCATCTCTATTTGTTTCCTTTCTGTTTTAGAATAAGTTGTTTCCAAAAGCAATTGATTATTTGCAGAAAACAATCCAGATTCGCAAAAGAGTTGGTTCAATTCTGCTAAGCAGGTATGAAGAGACTCTGTCTTGTATTATCCTGCAAAACATTTCATAAATGATAATTACTTTGTTTTTCTACATTAAACTTGGGCAAGTTTCCTTACTCCACACGCCTAATAACAATCCCTCCAAAAACAATAATAAATTGGTCATTTTCAATCTACGACTGTTTGTGGGACATTCCTGTACGCAATTGGCTGCCGCGTTCGCCCACAAATATACAGTCAATTCACTTTACAGTGTGTTCTGTGAAGCGCTTTGGGACATCCTCCTGACGTGAAAAGCGCTATATCAAATGCAAGGATTATTATTAGTAGTAACTAATATGTTGAGATCCATGCATTATGCCAATAATTTTAAATGTTTGTATTTATTAATCAACTACTTTTTAAACAAGAATGCAAATACTGTATTACCAATTACAGAAATGCCCAGATGGATGTTAGTGCGCACTATCAATGAAATCACTGCTATGTGCTTTACTTTATATTTATTAATTATTTACACTATAAAATAGTAAAACTAAAATGTTAATCTAATTTTTAAAGGAAATGTGCAACTGATCAATATTTAAGAAAGAAAGATGACCCATACAAATATTGTCAAGGTGCCTGTGCTGAGATCACGAATTGTGGTCCAGTGATAGTGCCAGAAGAACATCTACAGGTAATATTCCAACATTCAATTCTTTATCTTCATTGGTGACTATGAAGGGTCAAAATGTACAGCCTGCAAGGCAAGTGGTGATTTGAAAGTGGATACACTTTAGTTGTTAATTTTCTTTCTTTCCTCTGACTCCTGTGAGGAAATGCTGGACTTCCTCGAGTCCAAAATCGAGGGAATCCTCGATTTTGGACTCGAGGATTCTGCCACTGCAGCCACTGCCAGCTGCCACTGCCCTCCCAACTTCCAGCCCCTCCCTACACCACCACCCCCCCCCCCCACCACACTCCGACCACTACCAATCCCTTCTGCCACACCTTTGAACCTGTCACCCCCTCCTTTGTCATCACCATCATATCCTCCATGAAGCTCACCACCTGCTCCCTGGACCCCATTCCCCACCCCTCCTTAAATCCCAGCTCCACCTCCTTACCCCACTACTCGCCGACATCATCAACCTCTCCCTGTCATCTGGCACTGTTCCTACCCCCCTCAAAAGAGCCACTATCACCCCCACCTTGAAGAAACCTTCCCTTGACCCATCACAGCTATCTAGCTACCAGCCCATCTCCAACCTCCTTTAAGGTACTTGAGAGAGCCATTGCCTCCCAGCTTCACTCTTTTCTCCTACTCCCTCCATGAGCCCCTCCAATTGGGTTTCTGTACCTCTCACAGCAAAGAAACTGCTCTGGTCAAGGTCACAAATTACATCCTGACCACGTGTGACCAGGGCTCCCTCTGCCTCCTCGTCCTCCTCTACCTCTCCGCTGCTTTTGACACTATGGACCACTCAATCCTCCTCCACCGCCTCTCCACCCATCTCAACCTTCAAGGTTCTGTCCTTGTCTGGTTCAGGTCCTACCTTTCACGCGCCTTCACTTCGTCTCAGCAAATGGCTTCTCCTCCAGCCCCCCGCATGGTCTCGTGCGGAATTCCTCGGGGCTGTGTCCTTAGTCCCCTCCTCTTCACCCTCTATATGCTCCCCCTTGGTGACATAATCCGCCAACATGTTGTAAATTTCCACGTATGCGGATGACACCCAACTCTATCTCTCTGCCTCCACCCTCAACTCTAGGACTAGTGGCGTCCTGACCGACTGCCTGTCCGACATCAAGTCCTGGATGAGGGACAACTTTCTCCAACTGAACATCAGCAAGACCGAGGCCCTCCTGATTGGCTCGCGCCAGCACCTCCGCACCTCAGGCGCTGGTAGCATCAGCCTCCACGGCTGCACACTCAACCTCACTAAGCCAGTCAGGAACCTGGGTGTCTTGTTTGACCCTGAACTGTCCTTTCTCCCCCACATCCACACCATAACCGGCACTGCCTACCACCACCTCTGCAACATTGCCAGATTCCGCCACTGGGTCACCCCTCAGGCTACCGAAACCCTCACCCACACATTTGTCACTTCAAGGCTCGATTATGGAAACTCTCTCCTCATCGGCCTTCCCAACTCTTCCCTTCACAAGCTGCAGATCATCCAAAACTCTGCAGCTTGTGTACTTTCGCGCACCAGGCTCCGTGACCCCATCACTCCCACTCTCGCCCGACTCCACTGGCTCCCCATCCCCCAGAGGATTGAGTTCAAGATTCTCGTCCTCACTTTCAAGGCCATCCATGGCCATGCCCCCTCTTACCTCTCTGACCTGCTGACTCCCTACCAACCTGCCCACTCCCTCCGTTCAGCTGTAACCCGCCCTACCATCGGTGGCCGGGCTTTCAGCCTCTCTGCCCCCACACTCTGGAACGCCATCGTACAGTCCCTTCGCCTCACTTCCTCCCTTACCTCCTTCAAGGCTAGTCTCAAGACCCTCCTCTTCAATCATGCCTTCGGTCGCCCTCCCACCTCTCTGCCTTCCCTCACCCCTACCCCACCCCTCCCCCACGCTCGTGTCCTGACCCCTGACTGTCCAGGGCCTTGGAACGTCCTCCTGACGTGAAAGGCGCTCTATAAATGTAATTTTGTTGTTGTTGTTTCAGCGGCAGAGTTCGGAACTCTGCTGCCCACATATTGACCCGGACTAAACTCCACTGGCTCCCCATCACCGAATGGATCAACTTCAAGATCTTCACACTCGTGTTCAAATCCATTCACTCCCTGGCACCTCCCTACCTCTCCGAACTCCTCACTCCCCAATCCACCACCTCTGCTCAATTGGCACCGGCCTCCTGCTCGTCCCTCATAACCTCCGCCCCACCATCGGAGGTCGCGCTTTCAGCCACTACCCCCCCCCCAAAACACTCTGGAACACTCTCCTTCAATCCCTCCGCCTTGCCCCCATTCTCCCCTCTTTGAAGTCCGCCTGAAACGCAACACTAATCTTTTTTAAGAATGTAATTTTGCTGCATTGGTCATTGTAACATTATGGTAAGATATTAATGATTTGTTATTGGTGGCTATCCAGCAATGCAGGCTATGTAGTGAAACTGGAGGATCTTGTGGGTTCTCAGGGCTACCGAATGGTCCAGGAGTCCAGGATGCTGACTTTATCCTGTACGTGAGTGCACTAACTACAGAGCGCTGTGGACAGGAGAATATTGTAGCCTATTCAGCTTCTTGCCAGCTTGAAGCACAGCTGGATAGGTAAGGTTTACAACAGTGAGCTTTTGCATAAATTGTTTTCAAACAATGAACCATCAAAGTGTTTGCTGTACCAAGTTTTGCACTATTTGTATGAAAAAGCAAAAGGAGAAATATAACTTTTGATGCAAAGATATAGTGTTAAAAATGCGAAATAGGTTGGGGTTTATGAGTATCTTGTCAATGTATCATATATTGGGGTAGCTGATCATTGTTTACCTCAGTTAAGAATCCATAAAAGATTGCTAGTTGTTCCCCATGTTCCTTAGTGCAAGAGAAGTTTTCTTTAGACATACTGCAAATTGTTTATTTATATATAAAAACTAGACCTTTATATATGTATAGTCTGAGATTGTTAATGAATAATACTGTAGTTCCACTATTATTGGTTACTAATGTTGAGGTCTTCATTTATACAATAAACTGAGTTCTCCTCTGTTGTCCATTGTGTGTGTAAAAGTTTTTTTTATACACCAACTTGCAAACAATTCTGCTTTCTTTATCATTTTTAATAAAACTATTACATAATCATTGCATTTTGGTTGAATTTGGTACTTAATAAAAAATGAGTTTTAATCTTCAACTATCGTAAAATGCAAAAACCTGTACACTGTTGCATTTAATTTGTAATTTTTTTTGTTAAAATATTCCAGGCCAATTGCAGGATATGCAAACCTATGTCCAAACATGATCTCTGCTGAGCCACAGAAGTTTGTAGGCATGTTGTCTACAGTAAAGCATGAAATTGTCCATGCATTGGTATGTAAATGTGAATGTTGGTCTTTCCTCTTAGAAATGAAAGCTCATGTTTTACAATTTCATTGGGATTTAGGAACTTTTCTACGGCAAAACTTTCATTTTGAAATTTTAAAGTTTTGTTTCATCACAAATGAAATGGTACACTTAAATCAGAATTTTTCCCAAATTTAGTACTTAATTGAATTTAAAAAATCAGAAATTCAAGAAAAATAGCCCTTTTGTTAATTTTTTGAAATTGTTTGAAAAGTATGTTTGTTTTAGTAGCAAAATATTTATGGCTACTTCAAAGGATCATTTTATCCCATTACAGTAAATCTAGAGCATAGAGAGGGTTTTTCTTTTCAGGGAGAAGTTTTTTTTTTGCTCAGCTGGTGTCCTGACACATGCAGAAAACCCATCACTCTGCTTAAGAGTGTCCAAACCAAACTGAGAATTCCATTATTCCCACCTACACATAGAAATTCCAGAGATAGACTGTTGGAATGGAATGCATTCTCTCCCTGATGGGAAGCAACCTGCAAGCGTGTCTCCTTGGAGCCAATTCAGCTCCAAGGAGACCCCGCTTAAGGAGAGTTTGAGCTGCCTAATAAGCTGTTGATGATTCAAGTAAACTTATAGCATTATATTTGAAACAAGGCATTGAATTACTTTTGTGTGAAAAGACATGATTGGTGAAACGTGTTAAAAAAAACAGTGTTGATTTAAAAAAAAAGTAACAAACAAGAACGAGTAACTATAAACCAAAAGGAAAAGATATTGTAGTTTCAGTAATAAGTGGGAAGTGATAACGTCATGATATATGAAAAATGCATGGAAATAATTAAATAATTACTTCCCAAAAATCTGGAATTGACAATTGAGAATAATTATTATTGTCCTATAAACAAAAGTATAAACTTGTTATATTTATATTGTTGAATTATCTATTTTAAGTATATTTTCTTTAAAATATTATTTATATGTTTTCATTTGACTATTTTAGGGTTTCTCTGCAGGACTGTTTGCTTTCTATCGTGATAATGAGGGGAAACCACTGACTACTAGATATGCTAATGGTCTCCCACCTTTTAATGAAACGTAAGTTGAAGCAATTATTATCTAATTCTTAAACAATTTAAATTACTAATTATGAACAAACAATATGTAATATAGTCAGTATTGTTGTGGTTTCATAAATGCTAAATACAGTAGCTGTGGAAATGGTCATGGGGTTTGCGAGATATGGTCCAAAAAAAATTCAGTTCTGGACATATGTTGGATTACTAGGCCCACAATTTAGCCATGCAGTACAACTACTTTGCAAACTTAGATGCATGCTGCTTCATGCTTGTTTATAACTGGATTTTCTTCTGCCAGTAGTGCAAAGGTAACTATTTTTATGTACTCTTCTAGTGAGGCAGAAAAAGATATAGACAAGAGAAAGTCAGAGAGAGGAAGAAGTGGTGCAGTGTGGTACTATTGTGAAAGTACTTTCTGATGGAACAATGTAGCACTATAGTCTATTTGTATTTTGTGTGATACAAATTACCTGCACTGTTTGCTTATGCATAATGGGAGAGGACCAAACGAGTGCAGAAAATGTAACCATGCAACTTTCACCTACAAAACACAGTCTAAATGAAGTCCTGTGAAGCTCTTTGAAATATCCTCCCAATGTGAAAAGCACTATATGAAATACAAGTATTATTATTATCTATTATCGTACTTGAACAGACTTGGCTTGTATCAGTGGAGCGATAGAGTCGTACGCAAAGCAATAAGGTTATGGAATGTGAGAGGGAATAGCAAACTTCGCCATGAGGTCTTTCTTCTTGTAACTCCACATGTTGTTGTGAGTATAACAAAATTTATGTTTTATTCAAAAACAATTTAAGTTTTTATGATTTAGTATTTTTTCATGTGCTTAGTTGTGCTTGCATTTTCTTGGCTTAAATTAAAAAAGTGACGTTACCCACAATGAAACTCAGCTCAGCTACTCTCTTGAATGTGCCTTATAAGCTATTTGAAGCCTTATAAAGACACATAAAATTATGTTAAAATTAACCAATCAGAGTTGCCTTTGTCCAATTTACTTCCATAGAAATAAAATCAGCAGAGTTAAAATACCTACTTTGGTAATAAGTTCTGTTATGGTTTGGAGAAAATGATGCATAAAAGTTCAGGCATAGGACTGTTAATTTTCCCACCAGCAGTAAATTTCACCATCCCTCCCTGCAGAAAGAAGCTCAGAAACACTTTAACTGCACAATTCTTGAAGGAATGGAGCTTGAAAATCAAGGTGGAATGGGCACAGAATTGAATCACTGGGAAAAGAGATTGCTAGAGGTAAGATTATGTGAAAAGTAAATGTAAGTCACTTTAGTTCCTTAAATTCTGATTGTTAATTAGTTTTGGCAACAAAAGTTAAATTATGCAGAGAATGAATACAACAACAACGTAAGCACGGTCGAAGAGGAAAGTTTTCAGGCAGGACTTCATAGAGAAGGGGACAAGGCGGAGGGATTGAGGGACAGTGTTCCAGAGTTTCGGGGCAAAGTGGCTGAAAGCGCGACCTCCGATGGTGGAGTGGAGGGTGCGAGAGCCGAGTAGGAGGCCGGTGCTGGTCGAGCGGAGGCGCTGGGTAGTGGATTGGAAAGTTGGAGAGATGCCAGGGAGTGAATGGATTTGAACACGAGTGTGAGGATCTTGAAGTCGATCCATTCGGTGATTGTGAGCCAGTGGAGCCTGGCCAGAACTGGTGAGATGTGGGTACGGAATTTGGTTCGGGTCAGTATGCGGACTGTAGAGTTCTGAATGAGCTGGATCTTTTGAATGGTGGAGCTGGGGAGACTGACGAGGAGTGCATTTGAGTAATCCAAGCGCGATGTGAAAAACGCATGCACGAGGGTTTCGACTGCATTTAGGGTAAGGTACGGTCGGAGGTGGGCAATATGGCGGAAGTAGAAGAATGCGGTCTTGGCCAAGGACCGAACTTGAAAGAGGAAGGACAGCTGGGGGTCAAAACCGGACACCTAGGTTACGCACTGGTTCTGTGAGTCTGAGGGAGAGCCCAGGGAAGTTGAAGAGTTTAGATCCGCAAGACATTGACAGGAGCCAAGGAGTATGGCTTCTGTCTTTTCCATATTCAGCTGCAGGAAGTTTACACTGATCCAAGCCTTGATATCTGCCAGACAAGCTGATAGAACATCGACAGACCTGGAGTTGGTGCTGGAGTAGGCAAAGTAGATTTATATGTTATTCACATACATGTGGAAGTTTACACCATGTCTGTGGATGACGTCGCCCAGAGGGAGCATAGAGAAAAGGAAAAGAAGAGGGCAAAGGGTGGAGTCCTGGGGTACCCTGTAGATGACCAGGCGGGGGAAGGAGGAGAAACCATTTGCTGAGATGAAACGGAGGCGGTTGGTTCAGTAGCACTCGAACCATGCGAGTGCAGTCCCACTAAAGTAGATGAGGGAGGAGAGCCAATGGAGGAGGATGGCGTGGTCGACTGTGTTGAAAGCGGCAGAGAGATCCAGGAAGACGAGGAGGCAGAGGGAGCGCTGGTCACAGATAGAGAGGGTGTTGTTTGTGACTTTTACAAGCGCTGTCTCTGTGCTATGGGCAGGGCGAAAACCAGACTGCAGGGGCTCAAGGAGGGAGTGGAGGGAGCAGTATGAGCGAAGTTGATCTGCAACAATGCGTTCCAGGACTTTGGAAAGGAAGGATAGGTTGGAAAGGAAGGGACGGTAGTGTGAGAGATTAGAGGCATCGAGGGTGGGTTTTTTGAGGAGGGGTGTGATAACAGTGGTTTTCAGGGGGAGTGGAACAGAGCCTGAGGAGAGTGACTGGTTGACCATGGGAAGGGAAGCTTGGGAGATGAGGGCCACCCCACCCGCCACATTATTTGGGGTGGGGGGTGGTGGTGAAAAATGTAGCCAGGAGGAGAGGCTTCAACGAGGGGTAAAGAGTCATTGGGGAAGAGCCAGGTTTCTGTAAGCCCAAGAATATCAATGTGCTCACCCAGGATGAAGTCATGGATAGTAAGGGCTTTGTTGGAGATGAAGTGGACATTATGGAGGGAAATGCAGATAGGTTTGCAGGTGGGGGATGATGATAGGGAGCGTGGTACAGAAGATTTGGGGTGGTGGGAGAGAAGTGTCCATGGAGTTTGAAGTGCAGGGAGAGTTGGAGAGAGTATGGATGATGGAGGGGGAAGGGGTGTTTGCCTTTTGGAGGCGGTTGCTGCAGAGAGTGTGTGCAATGGGACAGTTGGGGTGGTTGCTCTGGGACAACCAACTCCGGAAGCCATAATGGGCCTGGTGGAGGATGCCCAGGTTGGAGCAGAGGGAGGTAATGGTGTGGTCCAGGAGAGAGAGAAATCGAGGAGGGTGGTGGGAGAGAAGAACAGTGGGAGTAGCGGAGTGTGGGGGGGTAGAAGCAGGAACATTTTCAGGGGGAGCAGCTCAGATCGGGCGGGAGCAAAAGTGCGCTCGCAGAGACCAGAATCGAACAATCAGTATCATCAATGATGCAAGCAGTAACAGCCCGCGAGCTACGGAAGACGGCGTGGGTGGGGAGAGAGAGGGGATGGCGGTCATGGCTTAGGTGGCAGAGACCAGGAGGGAAAGGAGGACAAGGTAGCAGAAGGAAAGTAGAATATACACTATACTTACCCTCCTTTGAGGGATTTGAAAAAGCTACCAGATGTAACGTCACACTATACTTACCTGGACGGATTTGAAAATGGCGCCCGGAAGTGATGACCGGCTTCAAGATTCGGACAATTTTTGGGCGGGGAATTTTGAAATGGCGTCACCGTGCTTGAAGCAGCCGAAACTTCGCTTTGCTGGTCGCTCACCCCCGTTCATTCATCTGCCTGTAGCCTCTGGTTAGGGTTCTCACCTAGCCAGTGGCTTCCACAGCCTACCTCGCCCAGCTTTTGTCGATCAAAATCTTCAACCCTCGCTCCTCATGTCTCCCTCTCGATTTACCTCGGTTTCCTGAGGCCCCGCCGCTCGCCGGCTGGCGACTGTCCCCGACGCTCGCTGACTGGAGACTCCAAAAAATTATTACCTTCTAAATCTGAACGCATCATAAAGTTTAAACTGTGTATAATACCATGAAGTGGAAGGTGACAGGTTCAATTTGTATTCTTTTATAAACTCTTCCAATTGTGCCTCCCCGCCCACACTACTCACCATTATCAACCAAATCCCCAAATCACCACTGATATTTGTTTTACATCTTCTGCCATGTTATGTTGCACAAGCAATGATGAAGACCAGGGAAGAGCTCTTGGTTGATAATGGTGAATGGTGACCAGTGTGGATGGGGAGGCACAATTGGAAGAAAGTAATTTATAAAGTGGGGATCATACCTTCACTCAAACAAATGCTTAATTTATCCATCAAAATTAATCTTATCCATTAGCGTTTTTGGATAAATCTTTTCCGTTTCCTTTGGGGCAGGAGGGATATGAAGTGGTCAATGTGGAGTCACAAATAGGATGTTTGGCTGGGTTGATGCCTTGTTTAAGTTTTTATTCTTGCATTAATTTGTGATGATAATTTGTCAAATACACTGCTTATATTTTCTTCCCTTCAGAATGAAGCAATGACGGGATTCCATACACAGAACAGGGTATTCTCTCGAATAACCTTAGCAATATTGGAAGATACTGGGTAAGATAAATAATTGTTCAAGAGCAACTTCATAAGAACATGGGAACTGTGTCATTGAGAACTTTTTTTCTTCTTGTAAGAACATAAGAAACAGGAGCAGGAGTAGACCATTCGGCCCCTCGAGCCTGCCCTGCCATTTAATAAAATCATGGCTTATCTTCTAACCTAATTCCATTTACCCGCCCTATTCCCATATCCCTTAATCCTTTTAGTTTTTAAAAATCTATCAATCTCAGTCTTGAATATGTTAAATTCTTGTATTCAGCTAGACAGTCATAATATTTAAATCTAATGGGATAAATTATCTTCTTTGTCCATTCTTGTTTTTGTGCGTATCTTACACTTTTGAGAAGTTATATCCTTGTATTGACATTTTTGGTGGAAAATGCTGCTTTGCACTTTAAGAAGAAAGAGTAGGAGGCAGAACTTCTAATGAGTTGCTCCAAAGAGAAATCCACAGATTTGTACATCTGTTTACTGGGCTCGTGCTGAATATTTAAGACATGGACATCTTTCAGTTGGTAGTCAGAACTAGCTCAGGTACTGCTGGATACCCCTTAAGAAAATAAGGACCAATTAACTAGTACTAATAATCCTTGCATTTGATATAGCGCTTTTCACGTCGGGAGGACGTCCCAAAGCGCTTCACAGAACACACTGTAAAGTGAATTGACTGTATATTTGTGGGCAAACGCGGCAGCCAATTGCGCACAGCAATATCCCACAAACAGTCGTAGATTGAAAATGACCAATTTTTATTATTGTTTTTGGTTTTGGAGGGATTATTATTAGGCGTGTAGAGTAAGGAAACTTGCCCAAGGTTTCGCCCCGCCTGGAATTAAACTCAGGTCTCTCACTTGCAAAGTGAGTGCTCTAACCACTGAGCTACAGGACCACTACCAATGAAAGGGGATCAAGAGCAGAAAGGAGGGAGAACTGACTAGAGGGTTATGTACTGTTTGATTTGTAACTTGTGAGCTGAGAATAAAAGAGTTTTCTACACATTGAGTGTTGAGAACATAACGTGTCAGAAGTAAAACTGACAGATTTGGAAAAGACTAAGAGATTGAACAAGGAAGATAAAAGAAGACAAAATGAGTGTTGGAGCAGCAGAGCCGGATGCCATGACAAGATATGTGCAAATACCACGAACATTGAGGTTAGATGGTAATTTAAGACATAATTGGCAAAGATTTGAGCAGGATTTTGAAATCTTTGCACTAGCCTCAAATGTGACGAAATTGCTACAAATACAGCAGTTGGCTATTTTCCTAATGTGGCAGGAGAAGAAACGAGGGATTACTTTGCAACTACGGACAAAAATGTGGACATGACATTAGGTGCGATGTTAGAGGTCATGCATCTAAGATGTTGTGAACATAACAATGTCACAATAGATAGATACAAACTTGGAACAATGAAGTAAGGGCCTATGGAATCATTTCATCAATACTATGCATTATTACAATCACAAGTATAACATAATCATGGACTTGAAGAGCTGATCAGTGACCAAATTGTAATAGGATTGAAAGATATTAAAATACACAGCAAGCTCTTGAAATAGAAGACTTTAACGCTCTAAAAAGCTCTGTGAATAGTTGGTATAGAAGAAATATCCAAAACACACATGAGGGACATTGATAGAGATGCAGAAGAGAAGATGGAAATTGATGAATTAGCTCAAAGAAGAAACTGGATTGATTCAGATGAGTACGGAGGATATACAGGCCTAAAAGGCAAACAAATATAGAGGAAACTTGAAAAGTGTGGATTAGTGCATCCTTTCGGAGATGATCAGCGGAAGGAAAAAAGTGCTATATGTTATATGTGAGCATTATGCAAGACAATGCAGACGTAGACAAAGAGAACTTGTAAGGAGCGATGACAGAGGAACCCTGGAGAAAAGACTTAACAGGATAAAATTATTACAGAAGAGCAAATAAGCCACAGAGAACTAGAATACAGCAAATAAGATCAAGGCAGTATGAAATATGGGACAATTCTGATATGGAATCTGGAGTGACTGAATAAGAAGAGGAGTATAATGTTGATGCAATAAAAATCATTAGGAGATTGCAATAAGAAAAAGGAAAAAAAGGAGTGGATGGTATCGCTATGGTGCACAGCGGAAAGGAAATGGTTACGGTGCAAATCAGATACAGGAGCTCAAGCCAGTGTAATGTCAATAGAAGAGATTCAGCTGGGAGAACCCAATAAAGACAACAACAACAACAAAACTCCATTTGTATAGTGCCCTTCACATCGGGAGGATGTCCCAAGGCGCTGGACAGGTAGAGTTACATACCCAAGCTGAGCGAAAAAAAATTGGAAAAAGGCAGGAGCAGATTATTGGCCTACAACAAAGAAGAGATTGAGACAGTGGGCTCCAGCACTAAAATTTTACAATGTAAGTGCAGCGGTGACAATATCTATGGATGCAAGTCAGTCAGGAATAGGAGCATTATTAATGCAAGAAGGAAATATCATAGCATATGCATCTAAGCCTCTCTCGGAAATGGAGAAAAGATATGCCCAGATAGAGAAGGAGTGTTTAGCTGTGGTGTTTGGGTGCAAAGGATTCAAGCAATATGTATTTGGGAAAAAAAGTGATTATAGAAAATGGTCACAAACCATTAGAGGCCATTCTGGAAAAAGGGTTCAATGAAACACCATCAAGACTACAAAGAATGAGAATACAGCTACAGTAATATAGCATTGAATTTCAGTACAAACCTGGGAAAACACGATATGTGGCAGCCACCAGTCAAAAGGCGAATAGAGAAGACAAGCAACTAGAAAAAGAAATGGAATTCTAGGTATGGGAAATAGCAAAGCAACAAGACAGGAGAAAGAGATTAGAGAAGCAAACGAAAGAGATAGGATAAGTAAGGAAATTCAGACAATGCTAAAAAAAGTCATGGTCTAAAAACCGAGAAGAGAGGCACCAGAAGAGGTCCGGCCATAGTGGGAGTACAGAAATGAAATATACCAGTGAAAAGGCATCATGTATTGAGGAGATACAATAATTATACCAAAAGAATTAAGGAATAAAGTATTGAGAAACATATGAAGGAGATTTCGGAAAAGAAAAAGCCAAAAGAGCGAGAGAAGTAGTGTTTGGGCCGGGCATAAATAAGCAGATAGAGGACTATATCGGAAAATGTGAAACATGTGCGAGATATCAAACCAGGAAAGACACAAACCAATGATATGGCACGAGAAACCAAGTAAAGCCTGGACCAAAATAGGAACTTGTTTTATTAGATATAGTGAACTGACTGCACCCGTACAGTTTCGCTTGCAACCAAAGGATCCAATCTGGAATGTAGATTTCAGTGATACCACACACAAACCATTTAACATGCCCTAAACACTTTCTGTACACCTTAAGCAAAACTGCCATACATGTGTGATGAGCTTTTTTAGGTCATAGCTCATCAACGATAGGTGATTTTCCCCCACCCCAACAAAAAATATGCCCATGCCATTCCACCTTTCAAGACCTTTCTGATGAGGTATAAATCGATGAGGTATATAACTTCAATCGGTTAATGCGTTATTGGTGGACAGACACACGTGCGATGTGTGAGCTGTGCTTGGATCTCTCTCGGATCCTGGTGCTTTGTTAGTCTGAGCTGGCCTCAGGCTTCATTTTAATCCTCTCCTCCCTCCCTCTTGACACACACTTATATATATGTGTGTGTGTATATATATATATATACACACGTAATATATATACACACATGCTTATATAACCTTTCACCTCTACCCCCTCCCTCCCCCAGAATCACTCTTATCCTTGAGAGATTATGGAACTCAGTGTATATTTTGGGGGGCAGAGATTTAATTTTAAAAATGTAGCATTGAATTATTTTCACCACTCTTCCCTCCTTCCCTCTCTCTGTCCACCTCCCGATGTATCGCTCTCAAAGTGTGTGTGATTTCCACAGTTGCTACTTTGTCACAGAATACGATGCATACCCAATATTTTGGGACTTAATTAAAGCATTTTTTAATATCATTCATCAACAATAGGAGATCCATCCCAAAACTATATGCCCATGACACTCCCCCATGCAAGACCTTTCCGGTGAGATAGAAATCATGTCTCTACGTCAGTTGCGTTCTTAGCAGAAGACACAAAGACAGACATTTATTAGTATTGATATACAGAATTGAATGACACAACTATAGTGGNAAAAAACAAGCCCAGCATAGAATACAAAAATACAGCATAAAATACAAAATTCATTAATTTAAAACGAAGGAGTGAATGACATCACTGTGGTGCACAGAATTAATTAATTTAAAACTAATTAATTTTCAAGCAAGGAATACAAGGCAGTGGGAAATAAAGCACAAAACTTCACCAGGGTATACCCAAAGCAATGGAATGGTGGAGCGGGAAATACAGGCTATAAAGAAAATGTGGAAGAAGACAGTCAACACAGTTCTTTTTAATGTGAACATTTCCCCTCTTGTTCTCCCCAGTTATAAATATTTTTCCTCTTCACATCCGAATTGAAATACAGTAATTACACTTTTCAGTAAAATCCTGTGAATCTATGTAAGTGCTTTTACTTGTTTCAATGTTGTTATAAAGCACTATATCAAATTCAAAGTTATTATTACTGTTGTCAATCAAAAACTCTTCCTACAAGCTTTGATTCTAACTCATCCTTTTCAGGACATCATGATTACAGAACCACTTATAACTCTCATTCTCAATTTTCTTATACAACTTTCAAGTAGTGCCAAATATAATGAAAACTGTAGCATTATTTTCTGAGTTACCTTCTGACAGATAAAAAAATGAATGTACTGTATTCATCAATCTTGATACTATTGCAAGTAACATTTCTATTCCTCTCATCCCTGCAGTTGGTACAAAGCTGATTATAGCATGGCAGAGAAACTAGAATGGGGTGAAGGCATGGGCTGTGACTTCGTAATGAAGAGTTGCAAGTTTTGGATCGATCAACAAAGACAAAAGTAAGATGGACTATGTTCTTTTTCTTAAAAAGACAGTGCCTCTATTACCTATCAGTTCCTTGAAAGTAGTGAGGTGTTTAATTATTAATCAAATTAATTGATACATTTTGTTTAAGGAGAAAATGGATGAAATAGCTATCTTAATTTGGTGAGAGAATGAGGTGCAATTTCTGCATATATTGGAGCTCACATTATTGTATGTTTCAGCTACTCTTTTAATTTCACAATTCTCAGTTGAAACTTTTCTGACCGCACTTAGGTGAGACATTGCAAATAAAAACCAAAAAAAAACAGTTAACAAAGATAGATTTAATGTGTTCAGCCATCTTTTCTCACTATTAAAAAAAAGTACTAAAAATGTTGGTCTTTTGAAAATGTAACCAAATTGTGGTAGTAATGATTCTTTTATTTTCAGGAATCGAAATGTAACCCCATATTGTGACACATTGAGAACAACACCATTGCAGTTGACATGTCGGCAAGACCAAAGGGCTGTGGCAGTGTGTAATTTACAAAAGTACTCAAAACATCTGCCAGCAGATTATCAGGTATATAATTATAAGCACTTTTAAGGTTGTCTACCAATGGAGTCGTCATTTTCTTTCATATAAGTGCTTGAACATAATAATAATAATCTTGCATTTGATATAGCGGTTTTCATGTCTTCTAGACGTCTCAAAGCGCTTCGCAGAATATGCTGTAAAGTGAAATGACTGTAAATTTGTGGGCGAAAAGCAGCAGCCAATTGTGCACAGCAGTGTCCCACAAACTGTCGTGGATTGAAAATGACCAATTTATTATTGTTTTTTGTTTTGGAGGGATTATTAGGCGTGTAGAGTAAGGAAACTTGCCCAAGGTTATAAACATGAAACAATACTGCTTCCTTATTATTTGCCAAATTTGTTTCGATAAAGATTTTTATTTCATGGCACATAGTGGAGTCCTGTAGCTTAGTTGGTAGAGCACTCGCCTCACAAGCAATAGTCCCTGGGTTCGATTCAACAACAACAACTTGCATTTATATAGCGCCCTTGACGTGGGGTAGCGTACTGGGCAGGGTGAAATGTTGGGCAAGTTTCCTTATTCTATACGCCTCTATTCACCTAGCAGTAAGTAGGAACCCGGTTATTAGTGATTGGCAGATCAGATTCTGGGGGTAATAATCCCTTAAAAAAATTCCAAAAAAGAATTAATAATTTGGTCACTCAATCTACGACTCTCTGTGAGACACTGCTGTGCGTAACTGGCTTCTGCGTTTCACGCAAAAAAAAACATCAATTCACTTTACAATATATTCTATGAAGTGCTTGAAGACGTCCAGAAGATGTGATCAGCCACTATATCAATTATTATTAGATTATTTACATAAATGGCATGGTTGTAGAAGTGTGAAAATCAAAATTTGACTATCTAAATAGAGATTAGGGCCCTTAATATAAATAAAGTCGTCTCCGTACAGAATTATCAGTGAAAGATAGTTCACATACAATACAAATTTAATTTTACATAGAGGCTTTCACTTTGGAAGGACATCACAAAGCACCACATAACACTACAGATTATTGAGGGACCTGGCATATCTTCTGTATCTCAGTTGTTGCAATTTTCCTATCACTTTGAGTTTTTTTTATGTCTGTGCTACTCCACTGTTTCCCAAACAAGCCCCTTGGGGTTAATATTGCTGCTGATGGTCAGTTACACAGGTATGGGGAAAGGACAGTCTTTTGCAAATATGATATTTAGGCCTCAGTGAAGTTGTATAATTATGTTTAAAAATGCGATAGTTTTCTACGTTCTAATGGTTGATTTTTATCATGAACTATAAAAAATTGGTTCTTGTTCCATTATTTATGCCCACATTGTACTTCATCACATTTGTCATTCTTTGTTTTGTTTACTTCTCATTTTAACAATATATACACCTCAATAATCGAATCCTCAGTATGCAAAAAAAAATTCTCAGTACTTGAACTTTCATTATCAAAACTAAATTGTTGTATTCTGTACTAAAGGTTTGTATTTCTGTTCTGCAGTATTTTGACTACCTTGATGGTATTCCATTCCGAGACCTGGAGTACTACGGTGGATCAGTGGAGATAGCTGACTACTGTCCTTTCAGTCAAGAGTTTAGCTGGCATCTAAGTGGAGAATTTCAGCGTGGCTCTGATTGCAGAATTTCTGAAAATCAACCAGGTCAGTTATTTAACACTGTGCCTAGTAATCTGGGTCATGGTGAAATAGACACTTTTGTAAACTTTGTATGATTTAGGAGGAAGAGGAGCTTTGACCTGGTTCAGGAACAGTATAAACATTCCATATATTTTTGTATGTTTTATACAAGAAGTACCACTAAAGTTATTCATTTTATAAAGTCATATCAGCTGCACTTCCTGCCCACAGTGCTCATTCACAAACTGAAATTAAATTTGATTTCAGAATCTTTGCGAAACTATGGTGCTGAAGAATATGGACCAGATTCTGTCTGCCTGGTTCAGAAGTCTCCATTTCTTATGCAGCAGTGTAACAGGAGACAAAGCCATCCAGACTGGGGCAGTGGATGTTATAAGGTGAGTTGAGGAAAGATTTTCTTTGAAGCTAATTATTCAACTAATTATGGATACTCGCATAGAGTATCCTTCAGAATATTTTTTTTGTAATTATATAAAAATTAGGGTATTTTGTAGGGTTTCTTTGTAAATTATTCTAACGATCATAAACTAATTTAAATGGTATTTCCAATTAAATGTAATTTTATCTTGTTTTATGTTGTTATTTTAATACTTCTAATTCTTTCAATGGGTATATATTTTTTTACATCAATGTACATCTTCATCTTGTAGAGTGATGGGAACTGACAAGAGAATAGAAATGGCAGAAGTTCATTTCCCAATTTTGATTTCCCTGATCTATACGTGCTCAAATATCAAACATACTAGTGAAGATAAAACAACAAAAGGGAAGGGAAAAACAAAATAAATTGTTTTAGTGGTTTGACTTTTTTTTAATGAACATTTGGAATGCAATATGAAACCGCCTATTGTAATTTGCTGAGGACAAATTAATTCATTAAAATACTTTTATTTTGTTGTCTAGATTTCCTGTTCAGCTGAAGGACTAATGATTTGGATAACTGACCAGTCTTATTTATGCAGTCAAGTTGGACAAGTCATATCAGTTAATGTTAAGATGAATGACTGGGTGTACACGGGAAAGCTTGTATGCCCATCTTGTTTTAATTTCTGCAGTTCCTGTCCACCGGAACATGATCTACCACCAAGAAATAAAACCAGGATGATTCCTATAGGTAATTCATTTTAATATTCTGCATCTTTCTTTGAAATGAGTTTGCACCAAATACAGGTATAAAAAGGCTATGGCTGATTAATTATATTTTGAACTTTAATTTAAAATTTGAGTTTAATTGAAGAATACCTTGTCTATGTATTACATTTTATAAGGTATTTTTATTTTGTAGATATAGTTTTAGTTTTTTCAAACTCGAGAGCATAAATGAACAGTCAAGGCTCATAGTGCAGTACATAAACAAGATTTTTTAAAAAAGACAGGAGAGAAGACAAGGTAAATCGATTAGAAGTGGTTAGTGACGGCAAGCTTGGGTTTTTAAAAACCTATATATTGTTAGGTTGAGACAAGCATCTGGGAAATAGTGTGTGCTAGGCTTAAGGCTGTGGAAAAGAACGTGTAGGTAGCTTGCTTAGAGTATGATGAACAAGACAATAATTTATTTTTGGAATTTGGTAAGTGAAAATCTCACAATTTTACCTTGTCCACAGAACTGAATAACATGCATAACATTCTCCAGAATATATCAATTAATGTAAATTTGTAATGTAATGTTCCTCGTACCTGCCATTCACTAGGGAGGTCTCAAACCTACACTTGTCATATGTCAAATGATCAATTAGTGATTATCCTCCTCGGGTGGGAGGTAAGCGAGGTCTCCTTGGAGCTGAACTCGCTCCAAGGTGACCTATTCAGTGATGGAATGTCAGAATCGAGCCCATCCTCTGTGGAGGTTTCGGTAATCCAGTTCCTGAACCAAGCAGGTCCACAGTACTCCAGGGCCCTGCTGATGACAGTGCCGAGGAGTTCTGTGGACCCGCTTGGCTCAGAAACTACCACCCTGGCTCACTGGCAGGACTAGGAATGGAAGATCAGTCACCGGGGGCAGGGAGTCTTCCCACTCAGCTCCATTAATCATGCAAGCCAAAGTCCTAACGGGTAGGGTGGCCCTAGCTGGACAAGCAGTGGGAATGCTTGACAGACTGTGATTTCATGGCAAACTATGCAGTTTTACCTGGTTAGACTACAGCACTATCCCAACGCACATTCACGGGTCCCCAAAGCTTGGCTTTTGTCAACCTGAGCCTAATACTCTCCAGAATTAGATACAAGCAGGATGCTTCCCTCCTGGGAGGGAGTGCATATTCCATTACAATAAATATCTCTGGAATTTCCATGTATAGGTAGGATGCATTGAAATCTGTTTGGTTTGGATAGTGTTAAGCATGGTATTGGGTTTCCGCATGTGTCAGACACCTAGCTGACCAAAGAAAAAAAGATGTAAGGAAACGACAACACAGAAGGCCATTCAACCCATTGTGCCTGTGCAACTCTTTGAAAGAACAATTCATTTGGTTTCATTTACCTGCCTTTTCTCCATATCCCCTCAAATTATTCATTTTTTAAAAAATGTGAGTTTAGTTACCTCTTGAAAATTAATATGGATCCTGCCCTAGCCACAGCCACATACATGGGTATGGCACATCCTAATAACCTTCTATGTTTAAAAAAACTTGCAAGGATTATTTAGGATTATTATACTCTTAACAACAACAATTCTTGCATTTGATATAGCAGCTTATCACATCTTCAAGACGTTTCAAAGCGCTTCACAGAATATACTGTAAAGTGAACTGTGAAATTGGGTTCAAGCGTTTGTCAGAAACCACACCAAGGATATTATTAAAACGTTTTATTAGCAATTGTAAAACCACACAAGTGTAAGCATCACATTACATCGACGCATTATCATTACTCGTCGCACTTAAATGACTACAAAAGCACTATCTTAACAAGAAACACTCAATACTAAAATTCTAAACATATATAAAAAAATTATGTGATATATGAAATGTGCCTAAATAATCTCTAACTGTTTTGTATATATGTTGGGTGCGTGTTTTAGTAAGTAGGAGAGATACTACCAAGCAGGCAAGAAATCATGACAAAGTTTTAAGGCTGGCACAAAAGTTAAACACAGTCTCTGTCTTGCTTCTAGCTGTAAATGTCTCTTGGTGGTCCACTCCGGCAAGAGCTGGACTTGTCCTCTTTCTCTCAAAGGCACTCTTCTTCCTCTCCATTGAGGTTCGTTCCCTTCCTCTCCTCAGAGGCTCACAGAGGCTCCTCAGAGACTCTCCCGAGGCTCTTCTCGAGGCTCTCTTTGAAATCTCCTCCCGCGACTCTTCTCTTTTCTTCTACAAACTAGTTCCCTTTGAAATCGTTTTGACCAGTTCACAAAGTTCTCACAGGTGGGACTGGCTTCTGATCCTTTAGGTCGCTCCCTTTGGGGTGGAGCATTACTGCTGTTGCACTTCTGAGGGCAGGTCTGTGCCCAATGCCCAAACTCACCACAAACATGACAGGGTGAGTTGCTTGGATTTCTGCCGGTACTGTCAGGGACACCAGCTCTGTTTTCCCCTGGCTTTCTGCCCTGCTTTCGTCCCTGGTCATTATACCGCGAGATCCACGTATTATACCCAGATTTTGGTCCTTCTACATAGCAAACCTCCTTTCTCCCCTCTGATCGTGATACCTGGTCTGAAGGTTTCTGACAGCCTTCCCATGCTTTAACTACCATTGAGAAAAGCTGGTTCCAATAATCCTCGGCTGTCACTATCATCCCTAGTTTAGCCTGGACTTTTGGGTGCAGTTTCTCCAAGAATCTTTGTTTATAACCTGCCTGTGGGGATCAGCATGGATACCGTTTACCTGGGATAACTCGAAAAGCACGGAGAATTGCCTATCGAACACGATCAGGTGCTCTCTTAAATCCTGTACAGCATTAACAAATTCCTGATCAGTATCAAACTGATTAATCCCTAACACCTGTTCTATCTACTCACTCACATACATTGCGCTCTTTCCCATTTTAAACACATCGGTAAGGAGCCTTTCCTGTAGTTTGGGGTTGATGGCTTTTAACAACACCCTGACCTGCTTGAAACTGTCTAGCTCGGGGTGTCGCTACACAAAAGCAGTCCACTCTCGGCTAAAAGTCAAGGGATGTTTTCCCGGGGATATTCTCCCTAGCTGTTTAGCCAGAGTGCTGCTGTCTGGCTGATAAAGGCGTGGTCTGGCAGAGGGGAACTCGTGGAGTGAGAATCGGACTATTTCCATTGCTCTGTCTTTGACGGGGAAGTGGTGTCGGGGAGTATCGGCTTTGGGATTCTGGGCGTGATAAGGCTTCGGAAGCGGAAGAGCAAGGGGACAGAGACCGTGCCCATCGACCTCCTACCTCATCCGAGACTGGTACAAAGCAAGGTGAAACTAGATCAGAACATCGGGCTCCAAGTTGGAGGGTAGATTGAACTGTGCAGGGGTCAGAAAGGGATTAGGGCAGGGGCGTTTATTGGGGGGTGACGTCTTGCTCAGGAAGGCTACGTTTCCTTGGTTTTGGCTGGGGGGGCTACCTTAGTCGACTCGTTCATGGGTTCGGTCTCGGGGAGCGGGGTGATTGCTACTGTTACCTCCTCCCTTGGGGTCAAAGGTTCGACTATCTGATCGCTCCGGGGTGCCGTTTTGATCATTGGATTGGTGGCAGCCGTCGCGATCTGGATAGCTGATACCAACGTCCTTTTCCAACCTAGTGCTGTCTGTAATTCAGCTATTTGTTTGGCGCACTCTGTGTGATCAGCAGCCCAATCTACCTCTTGTCTATGTTTCTCCATTTCTTCTCTTAATGCTCCCCGTGCATCTTCTAACTGGTGCTGACTTTCCTTAAACACGACCTCGAGTTCCGTTAACCGTTTCGCACTTTAAAATGCATTCTGACCCTGCTGTGCTGACGTGGTTACTAGATGTTGCTGCTAACGGTGCCAGTTAAATGGAAAATTTGCTTTACCTATTCACCATTCGTAGTTTGATGGTCATTGATTGGTTCAAGAAATACGCCTCTTGGTACTCTAACTGTTTGAGGGACTCCCTAATTATCTTTTTTAATTCCATATTCCTGCTATCTGCTCCGTTTTTATCAATGACCATGGCACAGTAAATTGCATATCGCAACACTTGCTCGGCTTGCTTTTCTGAGCGAATTGTTGTGACACCCAAACTTGATATGTCATCAAGCCAATCAACAGTTCCCTTTAGCGGATCTGCATGATTCTCCATGTTCTCATACAATACTTCTAACCCCGCATGGAGTACCTGTTTCCCTATGTTGTCAATATAGGTATCTAACATAGTTGGCCCTTCCTTTCCTAACATCTTGTTAGTCTTAATCCCCATCGTCTTCACTTATATTTTTGTGTGTATATATGTGACTTGAGTATGATTTGGTCAAACACTTGAGGTCCCTTTTGTTCGTACAGACAGTATTGCCGTATTGGCCCTTAGTCTCGTGACCAAGACTCTTGTCTGTCCCTTTGTGGTCGCTAAATTTGTGAAATTGGGTTCAAGCGTTTGTCAGAAACCACACCAAGGATATTATTAAAATGTTTTATTAGTAATTATAAAGCCACACAAGCATAAGCATCACATTACACCTGACGCATTATCATTACTCATTGCACTTAAATCACTACAAAAGCACGATCTTAACAAGATACACTCGATACTAAAATTCTAAACATATATAAAAAAATTATGTGATATATGAAATGTGCCTAAATAATCTCTAACTGTTTTGTATATATGTTGGGTGCGTGTTTTAGTAAGTAGGAGAGATACTACCAAGCAGGCAGAAAATCATGACGAAGTTCTAAGACTGGCATAAAAGTTAAACACTGTCTCTGGCTTGCTTCTGGCTACAAATGTCTCTGCTTGCCTCTAGCTGCAAACCCCTCTTGGTGGTCCACTCCAGCAAGGGCTAAATTTGTCCTCTTTGCGGTCCATTCCGGCAAGAGCTGGACTTGTCCTCTTTCCCTCAAAGGCACTCTTCTTTCTCTCTGTTGAGGTTCATTCCCTTCCTCTCCTCAGACCCTCCACTGAGGCTCCTCAGAGACTCTTGAGGCTCTTCCGAGTCTCCTCCCGCGACGTTTCTCATCTTCTACAAACTAGTTTTGGCTATTGATTTTTATACCCTTTCTCATACCCCTTTTTCTCCGTTCTATCTCTTTTCCAAAGACTTCTTTCTCACACTCTCTGCACTTTCCCAGGCATTCTTTACCTATCTTCAAGTTGTTTCTCCTTGTACCACTAGTAGTAGCTTCTGCAAGAGAACAATACTCCTCCTATTCCATCTTATCTAGCCTGACCAAACCACCTGACTCCATGTCCCTGAAGTTTCAGTCCTCCTTTCTAACTGTGTCCGTGTGACCTGCTCACTTTAAGCTTTTTCTCAGTTTTAATCCCTTCTCCAGCTGGTCCAATTATCCCAGATTCCTATCTCTCCTGCCCATAGGACACATGCCCTTGTAAGTGCACATGGCCTACCATCCATCCTCTAGATACAGCTATCCTTATCTTCTCTGGCCTTGGGTCACATTCCAGTGTACTCCTCCTGGCTCGGTGCCTCTTTACTAGAACTGTGTGTGTGTGTGTGCCACATGGTAGTATTTGTTTAATTTATTTTACTTAATTCATCTATTCACTACATGATCAATATTATTGATTTTTATACTATGATCCCAACTATAATCCTAACTATTACAGAATTGACTGTATATTTTGTGGGTAACAGAGTAATGTATCTATCTATGAAATATTGGTTAATAATAGTTAATTTCCTGCAGGAAATTTTGGTGAATAATGGCTTTTTGAACTCTTTCAGATCCCTGCTCCAGCTCATCAGGACTGGTGGTTACTCTTTGGTTGTTAGTGGCTAACGTCCTCCCTCTGGTGGCAGGATTTTTCCTCTGCGTATGGAACTAGTTACACTGTCCCACTGAGTAGCATAATAAGGTTGCACTGTTTGGACTAAAACACTGCAAGAGTACAGTACCCTTCTGAAGAAAGATACCAAGTGCTATTACCAAAAAGACTGAAGTCTTGTCTTGGACAAAGGAACAAAGCATGGATTGACCTTGTTACTTTTAGTTAATGAAACATTGTAAGAAATCATAAGTCAAAATGAAGAGGGTGCTGTTTTTGGTACTGAGCAAAAATGAACTACCTCTTTTAATACCATGTGGCAGAATAAACTAAATGTAATCTCTTCCGTGGCTGCAAAAACTCTAATATTCTGCAAATTCTCAGTGGATTTTAGCATTTGAATATTTTAAAACATAGGCACTAATGATTTGCACAGATGGTTTAATGGTCTTCAGTAGTGTGTCAATCCCACTTGATTACTTGCACTTCTGCTGCTTGCATTCTTTTCCTGTTTGCCTCTCAAAGGAACAAGCATTGCCTAGGTAATCTTGTTAATAATTGATTGAAATGCTAGAAAAATGATTCTAGTACTAACATCACAACTGTAAATCTAGATTTATTGCTTGAAGTACAGGAAGATATACTGTTGCTTATAATAAGGAGCATTGCTCCTTTCTCCATCACTATCTTGGCACTACAACAATTCTGGAAGCTGCAGTTTCACATTCTTGTGCAGTTATAAAGCAATGCATAGTAAACAATGTCCTCAGCAACAGACTCCATAACCTGGAGAGCAACAGAATCTGGTAGGAACTGCTATTTGAGGGTACATGACGCTATTTGAAAGAAAGTTACCTATTAAATATTTATTTGAGTTGGTACTAAACTTTTTTTTAAATAAACCAGTCAATCTTTTGTAACCATAAATTAAAGCACTCTTAAAATTAGCTTATCTGTTATCACTTAAATCTAATTGAATTTCTTCATAAAACTACAATGATTATTAATTTCCAATTATAATAATAATAATAATCCTTGCATTTGATATAGCGCTTTTCACGTCAGGAGGACGTCCCAAAGCGCTTCACAGAACACACTGTAAAGTGAATTGACTGTATATTTGTGGGCGAACGCGGCAGCCAATTGCGCACAGCAATGTCCCACAAACAGTCGTAGATTGAAAATGACCAATTTAATTATTGTTTTTGGTTTTTTGGAGGGATTATTATTAGGCGTGTGGAGTAAGGAAACTTGCCCAAGGTTTCGCCCTCTGCCTGGAATTGAACTCAGGTCTCTCGCTTGCAAAGCGAGTGCTCTAACCACTGAGCTACAGGACTCCACAAATTATTAATCTTGTCTGTGTGGGCAGCTTGTAGCGATTTGTGCAATACATAAATTATTTGACATTTATCAGACAATTCCAAAAGTATTAATCTCAGATAGAGTGCGTGGACATAGAACTTAGAACTGCTACTTACCATGTTCTTTCAATATCTTGTGTGTGATCCATCCGGCGCCACACCAAGAATCACAAGATGATGAAGGGGAGCAAATACTTTTTTGAGAAAAAAGTGACCATAGCTTTACCCTGAGGCTATGCATCCTGTTCTTAAGCTTTTGGCCAGAGGAGGGAATGGTTCTTCTCGAGTTTTGTGGGAAGAAATACAGTATGTGGATGTTAATCTGACTGTTCAAGAGCTACATGAATTATGTAAAGGAAAGCTTTCATATGAATTGGAATGTTTGAGTGGTTTTGAATATTGCTCTAAATGTGATCAACTTTTCTCAGTTTATATAAATGTTTACCAATCTTTATCTTCACTGTTGTAGCTTTCACAAGAATTGAGAACATTAATCTAAATGCTTTTAATACTTTTAGTTGTTGGCAACAATAAATTCCAGTGCTTGGAAACTAAGAATTGAATAGGAAACATGATTTCCAGGTGGAGCATGTTTTGTTATGAAGATCATATCCATTTGCTTTCACTTTGATTGACTGGGTCTTATCAGCCAAGTTGATGATGAGAAATGTCACTTAAAATGCCCTCTTACTTCATGGAACAGAAATGTATCAGTCATCCTGTTGTGAGACATAAAAATGAAAGCCAGGCTCCTTAACATTGGACATTTCTGCAATTTATTTGGTAGATACAGCAAAAATGCAAATTTTAAATGATTACTGAAGGCATTTATTTGATATTCCTTCTACTAGGTTACTGTTCCATGGGTAGCCTCTGAAATATTGGCCAAGTAACCTGTAGTTATTTGTGAGGCTTGACTAACATTTTGGTAGGTTATCAATCTTCAAAGGTCACCATTAGCCCTGCCGAGTGAGTTGATGGTTACACAAACACTTTTGAAATAAGAATCACTAGATAGCGATGAGGAATAAGAACTCTGACTTTTTTAACCCCTTTCCCTCACACAAACTTCTGCATATCTTAAAAACTAACTCAGCATAAGCCAGTGACCTTAAATGAGTGACCTTCTGGTCTGTATATTTTAGTGCTGAACCAGATGGTGCTTTTGCCCATTATGTTAATCCCGGTTTATCGCAGATTTTAATGGCACTGTGTGGAACAAAGATCACATTGAGAAGCCTTATAGTACAAATCTTAACATATTCGTGTACTTACAGAAAATTAGATCCGTATTCTCTTCAATATTCTATTTAACTCATAATGTGAATGGCCATAATTTTAAATTTTAGTTCAAAAAAGTGAAAGGTATTGCTTACTTATATTGGAACTGATCCACCCAATCAAAGCATTTTTTAATCTTTAATACTGAATTCAGTTTTTTTCTAAAAAAGAGGCTATTATCTATGCATTTGCATTGCAGAGTGAACATAATTTTTTTCTTTAAAAAAGCTCATTACAAACACTATCCCTTATTGTGCGTATTTTAATGATTAAGAGTTTTATGGATTAAGCCAGAGATGACATTCAAATTAGTTTTTTGTTTAAACAAGTGATTACCTTGACTACACCAATTGCAATAAAATGTACCCTAAGGCATACAAAATTGAAGTACATTCAAAGAAAATATAAAAACAAGCTCTTGGAAAGTTCTATTTTAATAACTGAGAGTTATGCAGTTGATGCCTGAGATATTCAGTTGGTTAAAATGTAGGCAATTACTGACCAGAAAAAAGCTTCTATAAATGAAATAGGAAAATAATGTAACATAGCAGGGTTATCTGGAATGTCAAGTTCTAGTTTTCATAATATTAAATCATTTTCCTTTTGATTATCTGGCCCCGATCCGATCATCGCATTGCTTCAGCTGACACTTCCATCTTTGACTCAACGTCCCCTCAATTTTCATCATATATAACTTTTAAAAGTTTCTATTTTTCATTTTCTGTGAGCAGTGTTTCATAACGTTTTATTTTGATTTGAACCTGCTATGCTTTCACTGTGTTTTAAAACACATTACACTAAAATTACATGGATAACCTGAGTTATCTAATTCTATTTATCCATGGAGGGGGTCCCTTGATTATAGCAAATCATCAAGTTCTAGAAATGACTACAAAGGTCAAAACTTATCAGTAACTCATTTAAGGCCAATATTTTTTGAAAGAATTCCAGGGCAGTATGCTTACACATTACACTAGAGTGAACCAGAAATTATTCATGACATTTTAGTAATAAAACATTAATAAATATCGAACATTTTGCAATGAGGTTTCACATATTGAAAACCATGTTTCCCTGCTTTGTTGAAAGGCAGAATTGTACAATATGTGGAAAACCATTTCCAGTGGTAAATCTCATTATAAAAAGCATTCTATTAAAAGATTAGCATAATTTTTCAAATACGATTGCTAAATAATTGGCTGCATTAATTGTTCTTCACCTGCAAACAAAAATGTATATGATTATAATATACCACATGAATTTCAGAGAGCCAGCTCAAGTTAGAAGTGCTCAGGGTGGTTTTGAAGGCATGTGATGAAGTCTTTGACTGGTCTACCCTCATAGCAGATTTCAAATACTGCAGCAAAGAGTGGAAATCTGTAAAAGAAAATCAAACACTTCAACCACCAACGTAATGTATGGGTATCCATGATGTCCTTGCATGGATTAGAACATGGGTTCATAACCTGATCCCCAACATAGCACAGGGACCAAGGGAAATTAAAAATGATTGTCCACAGGGAGCCTATTTCAGATTACCTTCATTCCTCTTGACAATAGAATGCTTTTTGCCCTTTTTCTTAAATTATTTATCACGGTTTCTAAGGTGCAAAAGCTAAACAGGATTATCCACTAATATTACCCTGTACCTGTCTGCAACTATGTCAGAAGGTTATTTTAAAAGTACATTCTATAAAATTCACACAACTCGTTGTTATTTTATGAACCAATAAAATTGTTAGTTTTTAAAAAAAACATACTTGTTCACTAAGTTCTTCTGTTTGAGAACCTTGTAAACCTCAGAGGATGTTTGAGGACCTTGAAGTTTTTGTCCATTCAGCAGCTCTTTCTCCAGCTCTTCAACAGACTGGCAAAATAGTGAATCAGTATGAGAGATATGACATCACAAGTATTCATTTTACTTGTACATAATTCTCAAAGAAAATTGTTCAACTAGGTTTTAAAGTGCTGCAACTCACTGCTCGATTCTCAAGTATTAAGATTTCTAGACTTTGTTCTTTGGTTCTCTAGGTTATGTTACATGTTCAGTATAAATATCACTGTAGTATTTATCTTGTATCTCAGAATTGATAGGCTCCTGAGCACAGGAATCCTGCTTATCGGCAGGACTTGGAAGGGCACACATTCACTGTGGGCAGGATTCCCTTCCGATGATCCAGGCTGGCTGTGTTGTCATCAGCGGTGCCCTGGAATACTGTGGACCAACCTGGCTCAGAAACCGGACTAAAGACCGCTACATTCCATTGTTCTAGCCTCGCTATAAACATGAAATGAAGAGAATGCACATAAACTAGGCACTATATTTACTCAGCTTTTTGTTAGACAAACACTGGAGTGAGTGAATTATAATTCTCAATTCACAGACCTATGGTGACTCACTTAAAAAAGACTAAATACTATAACACCTACCTTTCCAGTTCTCACAAACGCTTCTGCTACTCTTCTGTTTCGCCCTCCATAGCAGGTTGTGATGAGGTCAGCCACACCACAGCTCTCGAGGAATGTGGCTGATGTAACTGGTCCTTTACAAAACAATCTGGCAAAACATACCATTTCCATCAACCCCAGGCGGATTACGGCAGCTTTAGTGTTGTCACCAAACCCAAGCCCATCACAGAAACCAGCGCCAACGGCTACAATGTTCTAGACAGAAAAATGGAAGAAAAGACTTGGGTTGAAATCCAAAATAGAGAAGAAAATAGCTATACATCGTGAAGTTTGATAATGGGTTCTCATACGAAAATGTTATGTACAAAGTAAAATAGCAGAAACAAATAAAAATTCAGGGAAGCTTCCAGACTAAGGTTCTACTATTCAGCCTTTGCTAGTTCTGTAATAATTTAGGAAGAGTTACCTTATAAATGAAAGTTCAACTTTGAATTGTATTGCAGTATATATTCTGCAGTTTAATACATATTTTTAAACCTTTTTAAAAGATTTTTTTCCATGCAGCAGTGATTCCAAAATTCAAGAGAGAGCCTCAAGTGAAGAAACAGAGTCAACATCTTACTACGAAGAGCAAAACAGCAACTCTACAATATTTAACAACATTTCTGTAGGAGTCAATCTGGAGGCCAGATTAAGCAAATCAACTATAATAATTAAAGAATGAATAAACTAAAGCTAGTCGTAATCTAGTGAGAGTTTTGATAAGAACTAAGCTCTAGAATAACAGACATACAAGCATTACTGAACCTAAAATTTCAGTAATATCTCAACACACTGACTTAACAATGACTAAAACAGGGTGAGGCTTAACCATAGTTGCAAACAAAGCCTCTTAAAAACCAAATGTGCAATGAAAACAGAGGAGACTGCTTGATCCATCACCAGCTATGAGTATGTGTCCAGTGTAAAGTTCCAATCGAGAAATCAGCCGAACAAGGCAGACCAATAACTGGCGTTTGGCGATAATACCGGCCTGATAAGTTGAGCATTGTGACAGCTCAAAACTTTTCCGGTCACCTACAACTCTATGACCTGTAGAATCATTAAACGAATACTTATTGCATCACTTGCCATGTGCTAGCTCTCGTACTGTAGGAAAGCAGGTGAAGCTCACTAAAGTTGAATCACCCACATTCAAAATGGTTACTCTGGTAGACAAGCAGGAACACTACTCTCCAAACGAATACATTTTCTTTATGAATTCTCAGATTGTTATCTGTAAAAACTCAGTCTTTGGAATTCTAATAATGCTAACAGCCTTCGTTGAGATAGAGCTGACTTTCAATTCTGCCTAAAACTTTTTTTAGGGTAGGTTTTATAGTTATATATAATACATATATACACAAATCTGAAATGATTTTGCAGGTTTTGGTGGACAGCAGGATAATTGTATGTCCTGAATATAAAACTGGATAGAGAATAGAGCCTATGGGATTATAGAAATAAGATAGAAAAGGAATGTATTGTGATTATCTGGGATAGGCTTCACTAGTCCAGCTTGTTTGTTCACTAAATGAAGGCTAAATCCCTCCCTGTTGTGCAAGGCTTATGTAGCATGCCATCGAGATGACAAATGTGCTTACAGAGGGACAATTTTCCACATTTTCCATTCCCCTTCATATTGAAAATGCTAAGATAATCAATTTGACTAATACAATTTACTGCACATTAAACAGGTTGTGCAGGAAGGCACTAGTTACATATATATTACTATAAAATGTAAGCAACACACAGGCATTTGCTGATTGTGAAAAAGGATGAAAAAGTGATGCTAGTACTGAATACCAGTATATTGGGAATACTGAAAGTAAACAGCAAGGTTAAAAGAAAACAACAAGAAAATGATTTACCCAAACCGAATTAAATTAAAAGTAACCAATAAAGTGCTGCAAAAAAGATATGAATTAAGATCCATTAAGATAGAAACACATACATTGAAAAAATAAGTAAATATGTTTGCTAGAAAAAATAGCTACATATAATAATAACCACTTAAAAATATTATAAAATCATCTATTTAGAAAATAACCTCTATCACAAGCATGTTCTACATCAGGCAAGACTCCACTGTAGAATTGTTAAGGTGTATCTCTTCACACCACCCCATGCCCCTGAATAACTGAATATTCACTGTTTGCAGACTGATAGCTTTTTTTGTGCAGCCAATATGATTTTTTTACCATTAATTCCACAAGCTATTTAGGACCAAGACATAAATAAGACATAGCTCATAATTCATTAGCCCAAACAGTTACCTTTAAAGCACCACAAATTTCCACTGTGTCGCATTCCTCTACCACAGAAATTCTGAAATTCGGAGTTTGCATTAGGTCCTTGAGGATCTGTCCATGTTCTTTATTTCTGCAGCCTTAACACACAAATAAATGTCAGAGTTGCAGAATTCTGTCTTGACTGGAAACCCATATTTACCTGTTTCTAAAGATGAATAGATTACCCACATTTTACACTACCCATTACAACCAGGTTCTAAACCGGAATCTGCCATAGCAGCTTGGGAATTTAATGTTCCGCCTGCAAGAACATTTTCTGCACCCTATGTACTACGCACCTATTTTAAAGTATGGAGTTATGTTCTTTTTTCAGCCATGTAACCAGGAAGTGGATGGGCAAATCATGTTAAAAAATAATCTAAAACAGATCAGTTAATGAATTGCAACTTTTGTTTTTCAAATACTTTATTTTTTACTCAACCCGAGGCATTGACAGCATATTTTACGTTCAATTTCAGTGAAAAAGGGTCTAAAGTGCAACATTTGCAAACTGGATTTGTTGCATGAATTGCAACTTTTGGTTTCCGAATACAGTATTGTATAATTTGCAAACTGCAAAATGTTAGCTATTTTTCTTGTCAGTTTTTTTTCCAAACTTTGTTAGATTTCACTTCAGGAATGTTGCCACAGTTTTCACAATCTATTATTCAAAAAGCCAAGTTGTTGCATTAATTGCAACTTACATATTGCAAATATTCAATTTTAGCCTCACATTTTATTAAATATCACTGTTATTCACCCTCACTGAAACACAGTACCCTTCAATGTAGAATCAAAATCTGAAACAATCCCATAATTAACATATGGAAAGAATTCTGTTCTAGGTCAACCTAATTCTATGCAACCACATGAGAGTTTTGTAAAGTGCAGTTATTATAGTACATAAATAATATGGCCAGATCAGGCCCACTGACACCAAGGAAATGAAACCAAGAAAATGCAGTGTGAAATATTTTTGTGTGAAAGATTATTTCTATTTTTTAGGATTAAGAGCTTATGAAATCTGATTTCTAATGTGTTGTTTATGCATCCTCACACCATATTGAAAAACACCTTCAGTTAATGTTGGGCAAATACTAATATAGATCACCAAAGCTCAGAAACCCACAGGATCATATTTCTTACCAATTGTTGTTTCACAGAACTTCTCCTCTGCTACCTCACTGGCAATGTTGGCACCCATCAGTACACTCATTTCAATGCCAAGTTTCTCCCGAATAATATCAGATATTAGGTTCAGGCCTTCAGGACCTTCATCAATTCCCTATTAAATTAAGCACTAAAAGAATAAATTTGCAATAATACAGTTAAACCAACACTGTTAGACTGAAAGAATTTTGATGAAGCAATGTTTAAGGACTTGCATCTTAATACATCAGAACCTCTCAAAGCACTTCACACATAATTATTGTCCAATATTATTTGATTATATGTAGGCAAAAGTAAAAGCCGTATAACACCAATAAGGTCTGAAATAGCTGATTAATCTGAAGGATTATTAGTCTGGATATTAAATATGAAGATTAAAACCTGCTATCACATCAATTCCAAACTCATTTTCATAAAATTGGACAATTGGAGAAATATATACAAATTGTATTATAGCTCTTCATAAAGTTATAGCTTTTTTTCTATTTTCTAGATTCATACTGAAATTTATATTAAAACATATTGCTCCCAGTTCAAATGTTTACATCTACAACAAACATACATTGCACTTTGCTTTAAAAGACACCAATTTATGCCAATCATTTACAGTTCTAAGATTTTTTCCTATTTCTTTACTGCACATCAACTTAAATTACAGATAATAATAATCTGTGCATTTGATATAGCGTCTTATGACTTCTTCAAGATATCTCAAAGTGCTTCATAGAATATACTGTAAAGTGAACTCATTACATTTTATGGGTGAAACGCGACAGGCAGTGTCCCACAAACCGCAGTGTCCCACAAACAGTCGTGGATTGTGTGACCCAATTTTTTTTTGAATGGATTATTACCCCCGGAAAAGGGATCCACCAATCGACTAACAACCAGGTTCCTACTGACTGCTACGTGAACAGAGGTGTGTGGAGTAAGGAAACATGTCCAACATTTTGCCCTGCCAGGAATTGGCTCAAGCCTTCTTGCTTGCAAGAATAACCACTAAGTTATAGACTTCACAAATTTCACCAAGGTTTATAATTGCCCAGTTTTAAACTTGGCCAATATTGAAAAACAAGTTGTTGAGAAAAAATATCACTTATACTACCAAAGAGCTATAAACAACAGGAAGCAGTATTTGCCTGGATCACTCTGCAGTAGAACAATAAAGTTCCTTTTCTAAATAGATGTGCATTGGTCTGATTTCTTCCATTTATCTTTTTAATTTTTCTTAAAAGCTGATTGATCTGAGATCAGAAAACATTTCTGCATACTGGGGATTGTGAAAATGTGAAATGCTTGCCTCAGGGAGTTGCAGAGGCAGAAACATTTGGAATGTTTGAAAGTAAATTGATAGATACTTCAGAATTAACAGTATTGAGGAGGATGGAGCAAATGCAGGGAAAAGGAACTGAAACATTTGTCATGATCCAATTAACAGGTGGAACAGGACCATGGGTTGAATGAGCTTCTGCTGTTTACATTCCTATCCTCAGCAGAACCAACTTTCATTGTGTACTGACAGTTAGCCCTCATTCATTTCATCTCTAATACCCGAGTTCAAACTCACAATGATAAGTCTTTTGCTTTACTACCTCCGGTCCTAAAGGAATACATTTCAGCAGTTTAGTCCAGTTCTCACACTACAAAACTGATCATACTTCAGCATAAATTGAGACTAAAGTGTTTTCATTCAAAGAAGTCTGGTGCGGCAAGTGGAAAACGTCACACTGGTTCAATACCTTTTTGAGGCTGCAGTTAATGCATATTGTCGAGGGAGAAGGTTAAGGTTTACTTTGCATCATGGTTTTACTTATCTGGGATTTTTTTAAATTGAGAAATGTAGGTGAACAAGGCTGAAAAGACAATAAATTGTAGTTGGGTATCTCTAAGACTGAGTTTTAAAAGATTGAAGTTTATAAAAACAATACTGACCCAGAAAAAAACTTTAATGAAGGATAAAACTGAAAACAAATTCCACCATTATTCACCATCTTTACTTTGATAAGAAGAAAACATTTTATTGGTTGTCGCTTGCTCGCTGGCATGCCTTCTAACAAAAGTGTTCCACTTTAGGAGTGAAAGGTTAATTGCTGTGTTTCTATAGTGCCTATTTTGTCCTGTAAACTAATTCCTGGGCTCCTGCTGTGTTAGTGCTGGTGAATTCAGGATTGTTGCACTCTCACCGGTGAAGGACATTTTGTAGAAGAGATCTTCTGAGCAAACAATGTGGGGGGGTAGGGTTGAGCTACATATACTGTTCAGAAATGTTACTACCTGATATTCCTATGAACAGAAGGATCTCTGCTAACAGTATTTGTTTCTGCAATCCTTATTACCCCTCCTTTATCACATTGAAAAGATCAGCAAAATAGTAGACCAGGCAGTTTTGTAATGAGAGAATTATCTACTTAATCTTTTCACAAGTTTTTCTCAATAATTACTGTCTTGATATTGAATAGCAAAGCTTTAACATTATGAATGGAGCATTTTTCTTGTATCAATTCACACACCTTAATACAGTATTATAAATACATCTAATTATGGCCTATTAAGGAATTAATCAGTTACATAGCAGATAGTGTCTTCAGTAACATAAACATACTCAAGGTCAGGGAAGTGTACAATGGAAAATAAGTTAATAAAAAATTTGAAAACACTGAACCTGCAGGAAAAGGATTTTTTTTAAATTTCAGTTTCCAGCAGCATTTTCTTTTGTTATAAATAAAAGTCTGGCTATAATGTATTGAAAACATTGTACAATTTTGGTATTTAGTAAATATCTGAATACAAAAACAGTTAAAAATGTAGATTGTTACAAAACCTACTTATATTTAAAATCTGCTGTTCCCAAATTTCTATGATCAGATTTTAAAAAACACCACTCAATAACTAAATATATTACACAGTAATACATAATATATAATGATATTACATGTCAATTTTCAACTCCTTTTAAAAGCTTCCCTTGGTGTAAGACCTAACAGCGCATAAATTCTCTCTCCCTCAAATCACAGAAACTACATGAAAAATGTCTGCACCAAATACACATGTGTATTACTGTACTTGCAAAGACTGTTGTAAAGAAAATTGACTGAAATACTAACTTTATATATTCATGAAGATACACAAGAGATTAAAATTCTAACTAAACTGTTCTAAATAATAAGTGGAAAAATGAGCAAGGAAAAAGTATTGACACAAGTTTGTTTGAAAAATGTGCCTTTATTACGGTGAAACTTCCAGGCTGAAACATTATTTTTTTCATTTATTAAACTTTAAAACCTCACCTTAATCAATGAGATTCCAAATGCATCAGATTTCACACGATCTTTCATCTGATCACAAAGACGTCCAATAAATTGATGAGGTAAAACAAAGACAAAAATATCTGCTCCATCTGATGCTTCAAGGAGATCTGGCACAGCAACCTGTAAAGTAAAAATTATTTGAGAGCATTGTGCACTCAGTTACCTTACTAAAACATACCGAAGGCAACTTACAAGTATAAGATTCTGGGTGAACTGAAAAATAAGACTTGTTCCGAAGGTGGCTACCTCAATTTAATGCTGTGGGCATTTAGTTTCCACACAACTCCCCTACCCCATCCACCAAACAAGGCCTGATCGCTGATGGTGGAGGGGGTGGCGGTAGGGGAACTTGGAGCAGGCCGGAACCTGCTGAGCGGAGAGAGTGGGCAGGTCTATATGGAGTTAATAGTTCACAGAGGTAGGGAGGAGCAAGACTGTGGAGGGCTTTAAAGGTGAGGAGGACTTTGAACTATCCTCTGGGTGACAGGGAGCTAATGGAGCCAGGCAAGGATGGGGGTGATAGGGTCACAGAGCCTGGTGCAGGAGAGAACACGAGATTCAGAAGACACAAGTTCTGAATAATCTGCAGCTTGTGGAGTGAAAAATGGGGAAGGCCGACAAGTAGCGAGTTAGCATTGTCAAGACTGGATGTGATGATGAACACGTGGATGAGTGTCTCAGTGGCCTGAAGGGTGAGGCAGTGGCGATGCCAGGTGATGTTGTGGAGGTGGGGGAAGACAGAAAGGATCATGGTATGGAGAAAGGTCAGTTGAGAGTCAACAAGATGCCAAGGTTCTGTACTGGCTCAATGAGGTGGAGTGTGCATCCCTGGATGACGATGATGTTGTCAGTGCCTGAGGTGTGCAGGCACTGGCGGGAGCCAATCAGGAGATCAACAACAACAAATCACACTTGTGTAGCGCCCTTCACGTTGGAAAGGTGTTCCCAGGGCGCTGGATAATCAGGGGTTTTGGACCCAAGCTGGGAATTGGGGTCAAGAGAGGTGGAGGGCAGGGGAGGTTGAGGTGGGAGGGTGGCCATAGGCATGATCGAAGAGGAAGGTCTTCAGACAACAACAACAAAATTATATTTCACATCGGGAGGACGTCCCAAGGCGATGGACAGACAGAGTTACGGACCCGAGCTGAGGGTCGGGGTGGGGGAGGGGGGGAAGCAGGGAGATCGAAAGCACGGTCGAAGAGGAGGGTCTTGAGGTGGGTCTTGAAGGTGGCGAGGGAGGAGGCGAGATGGAGGGACGGCGGGATGGAGTTCCAGAGGGTTGGTGCAGAGTGGCAGAAGGCCCACCCGCCAATAGTGGGGCGAGCAAGGCGGGGGACATGAAGCAGGCCAGAGCCCGCTGAGCGGATGGAGCGAACGGGATGGTAGGGGGTTAGGAGGCCACAGAGGTAGGAGGGAGCAAAAACTTGGAGGGCTTTGAAGGTGAGGACCAGGATCTTGAACTGTATCCTCTGTGTGTTGGGAAGCCAGTGGAGTTGGGCGAGAATGGGGGTGATAGGGTCACAGAGGCTAGTACTGGAGAAGACACGGGCTGCAGAGTTCTAGATGATCTGCAGCCTGCGGAGGAAGGGGTTGGGGAGGCCGACAAGCAGTGCGTTTGCATAGTCAAGTCTCGATGTAATGAAGGCGTGTATGAGGGTTTTGGCGGCCTGCGGTGTGAGACAGTGTCGGAGCCGGGCGAAGTTGCAGAGGTGAGGGAAGGCAGAGCAGGTCATGGAGCAGATGTGGGGTAGAAAGGATAGTTGAGGGTCGAACAAGACCACAAGGTTCTGGACTGGCTTTGCAAGGTGGAGTGTGCAACCATGGATGGTAATATTCTCAGTGTTTGAGGTGAAGAGGCGCTGACGGGAGCCAATCAGGAGAGCCTCGGTCTTATTGACGTTCAACTGAAGAAAGTTTGCTCTCATCCAGGACTTGATGTCCGACAGACATTCTGTCAGTGCAGCAGTGGTCCTGGAGTCAAGGTTGGAGGCAGAGAGGTAGAGTTGGGTGTCATCCACATTCATGTGGAAGTTGAAGGACATGACTTGAAGGAGGCAAGAGAGGGTGAGGCGGAAGGATTTCAGGATAGGGTTCCAGAGTGTGGGGGCAAAGATGCTGAATGCCCGAATACCAATGGTGGAGCGGGAAGTGTGGGGGACCTGGAGCAGGCCAGTGCCCGCTGAGTCGAGAGAGCGTACAGGCTGTTATAGGGTTAGGAGGTCACAGAGAAAGTTAGCTCTTATCTAGGTCTTAATGTCTGACAGACATTCCGTCAGGGCATCACTAGTCCTGGAGTTGAGGGTGGAGGCAGAGAGATAAGAGTTGGGTGTCATATGGAAATTGATCCCATGTCTGTGGACAATGTCACCAAGGGAAAGCATGTAGATATTGATGAGGAGAGAACCAAGGACAGAGCCCTGAGGAATGCCATACAAGACTGTATGGGGACTGGAGGAGAAGCCGTTCGTAGAGACAAAGTGGAGGTGATGGGAAAGGTAAGATTTGAACTAGGCAAGGGCAGGAGAGTGAAGATTGAGCTGAGAGAATGGTCAACAGTGTCAATGGTGGCAGAGAAGTCAAGGAAACAGAGACCTGTGACCCTTGTTACAGGTGGACAAAATGTCATTCGTCATTTCAAATATAAGTTGAAATTTTNAAAAAAGGAATGGAGGACGAAGAGTAGAAATATGCACACAAATAAATGAGTAGAAGATCAATACAAAAAACAGTCAGGGAGAAACAGCCTCTAGAGATCTGAGGTGGGAAGGAAAGCTACAGATCTGGGCATGTAAGGCACATCAAGTGAGGACAGTCGAGTGAGAAAAGTTGTAGAACTTCCAAATGATCTCCTACAAGGCTGAATTCAATTAATTAGCATTTTGTATGAAATCCAATGTTCGTATTTTAGTTATAAGCTATTCATAACACTTTCATAACACTCGCGCACCAGGCTTCGTGACCCCTTCACTCCCACCCTCGTCCAACTCCACTGGCTCCCCATCCCTCAGAGGATCAAATTCAAGATCCTCGTCCTCACTTTTAATGGCCTTGACCCTTCCTACCTCTCTGACCTGCTGACTCAACTACCAACCTGCCCGCTCCCTCCGTTCAGCGGGCTCCAGCCTGCTCCATGTCTCCTGCCTTGAAATTGTAAGAGCACAAAATAAAGGCATGTCAATTTGTTGGTATCTGTGCCACCAGGATCTGATGAAGTTTTAGTTTTCCTACAATATTTCTTAGTAGCAAGCTGACCAAAAGCAAATCACTAAAGTGCCATTTTGGTGAATGGAAAGTGTGGAAGAGCCTTGCTTCAAGTTGATATCATAAGCTGAATAACTTACCACATTATCTGGAAGTTTGTGACCTGGCAGGTACTTTACATTCTCATGTTCTGTATTTATTATTTCTGTAAGTTTTCTACCATTTATTATTTCTTCAAAAACCCACATTTTGACTGTTGGGTCAAATTGGTTGGGTTTTGCAACATTTTTACCAATAATTATGGCCACTGCAGAGCCCCTGAAAGAGGTAAATACACAGAATAAGTTACAAATTATACCAAACACCTCAAAATAAGAGTGATCTTTTCAAAACTTCAGAAAACAATCACAATCAATAGAAAGTAACGCAGTAAATATATTGTCAATTAGAATGGTGCACCTTGTGGCACCTCTCCTCAACAGTTTGGGAAGACCTTATAAAAATGTCGTAATGTTTTAAAGATGTAATTACACTCATGAGAAGTTTTTTCCTATTTCTAGAACTACTGTACTTGGTTTACTTATTATTGTTCTAGAAGATGAAACACACTGGCAATATTGGAATAAGCATTCTACATTTACTTTGTGAACTTTAGTTTGAGGGTTAGACAAAAAAAAACATTACGGCACATGTGATCTCTTAATCCAGCCTTCTGAAGCACGCAACCTCTTATTCAATTTTCAAATGAAGCTTATTCTACATAACAGAGACTGGGTATTTTTGGTTTATAGTCTTTAGATCTGAGATTTAGTAATTTGACAAAATACAAAATAATAAAGGGAATTGAAGTGGTTGATAAAAACTTTTTTTTCTGCAGTAGCAGAATCCAGATAGGTGATAATTTTAAAATGAGAGCTAACCAATTAAACATGAATTCAGAAGATATTTATTTTACAAAAAAGAGTAGTGAGAATGTGGAGTACACCACTCGATGACATAGATACAAAATTAGTTGAGGTATATAAGTGGGAAATAGGTACTTCAGAAATTAGGGTATTAAAATGATGTGGAGAAAATGTGATGGTAAGCAGAGTTTCTTTAAAGCTGAGCTGACTCGAGGTGGTAGGGTATGGCAATGGAAAGTTGGACCCTCTGTGGTGATCTCATTGTGTGGTTCCTGAACTAGGGAGGTCCACAGTGCTGCAAGGCACTGTTGATAACAGACGAGCCAGCTGGCTTGTCAGCAGGACTTGGAGGGCAAACCAGTGTCTGAGAGCAAGGATTCTTCCCACTCGGGTCCAAAATCATGTCCAAATCCCTGACTGAGCAGCGCCTCGGGAAGTCCTCCCGACATGAAAGGCACTATACAAATGTAATTTTGTAATTGGATTAGATTGTATTGTTAACTGTGAAAGCCGAAGCCCTAATGGGGTAAGACGGTCCTAACTGGACAACCAACAGAAAGCTTGGCAGGTAGTACTTTCAATGGCAAACTGTGCATGTTTAATTGCTTATCTCCAGTAGTACCCTCATTGAACATTTTGATGTCCCCAAGCATTGGCCCTTTCAACTTGTGCCTAATTCTCTCTGGAGAAAATGCACATTCTATTCCAAAACCAGGAAACATTTCATGTGTCAGTGGCATTCATATGTGAAAAGCTCAGTCTGGTTTGGTGATACTTTTAAGTATGGTGATGGGTTTCCGCATGTCTCAGAAATCCAATTAACCAAAAACAAATCACTAATGTGCCATTTTGGTGAATGAAAAGTGCGAAGCCTCAAGCTGATGTCATAAGCAACCCAATATTTTAATTATGCAAATGTTACCATCACAACATAAATTAATCACATTAATCAAGTACATTAGAAAGTACATTTTCTGAACACTGCTCAGAGAAACACTGCCCCTTTAAAATATGATGCGAAGATCAGAGACGATACAGAATGTAAGTAAATGGTATTCTGGTACAGCGTTTTTCAAGGCTTCAATAGTATATGTATTTTTAAAGAGGGGACGCTGTCGTGTGTGCAACCCATTACCCCACATAGCGCTGTGGTTACCATTGCCAAACCGCTCCATTCTCTGGATGTGTAATCGTAGGTTAACGAATTTGACAACGCCGACCTGTTCAGCCACAATATCGCATAATACCCAGCAGGCGTTCATGTTCCCACACTGCAACGTTTATTGGGATAGAAAATAGTCCCGAGAATTTATGATCCATAATTAAAGAGTCACAAGACTGCATCTCCCTCGGGTAACGCGCCTCTCGTCGCCACCAGAAATCTACAAAGAATAGCAATGCCCAAAAGGGACAGTCGGTTACAGGAGTGTTGCACATACCAGTTGCCCGATCCAACGATACAGATCTTTTTAAGATCAGACATGTCCGCGGCGTGTTGTAGCTGACAGGTCGCTGGGATGGCTCGGGAGTGTTTTGGACTTTACACTCGGAGGGCAGTCACTCGGAGCTGCGGTGACTTCCTCACTGCCCTTCCCGTAGTCAGTGGTTGGTTCGAGGCGGTGTCGATCACTGGCGAAGTCCCACTGTGTGGAGGAGGAAGGAGGAGGAGCTGTTTATTGAAGGCTTTAATCTGTCGCTGCGATTTGGGCTATTTCTCCACTGAGAAATGATACATTCGTGCAACTTACAATGTTTCGGTGTTTTATTTTTAATTGTGGATTGAAAGGAAACATTATAATATTAAACAACAGTCCGTGGATTTCAGTGCACAAAAGCTGTAACTTCCTGGTTCAGTGAAGGTGTGGAAGCGACAGTAAGGCACCCAGACCGCAGCGCCATATCATTAGCATTTGGAACTGATTTTGTTCAAGTTAGAAAATAAACTGACAGAAATATACCATCGTTTAAAAAGCACAAAAACAAGATATCGTGGATCCAAAGAAATGTGCCCATTATGAGGCTGTCGAGCCATCTGACGAGGAGGGAGGAAAATCAATTACAAAAACTTGCATTTATATTAGTGCCTTTCATGTGGAACCTGGAACACTTTACACACACGCGGTTGGATGTGGAACACGGAAGGGAGAGACATAGCCATCGACATGATTGAAGAGGAGGGTTTTACGGCGAGAATTAAAGACAAATACGGGGAGGGAAGATGTTGGGGCGTAGTATCTGAGGTTCGGCCATTGAGCGTATTAGATTATATTCTGTTGCTTTTCCCATTATTTATTTCAATTTTGATTGCTTGCATTGCTTTCTTGTGTCATCTCTTTCTTTAGTTTTGATATGATTAAAGCTTTTGATTCCCACTTATTTTGCATTTTATAAAAGATATTCAGATATGACTAATAAAACATGCAGTCACTGATTTAGAGGTGTAACTGTGACCCATGGACCCCAAGGGAAAGATCAATTAGCATATTAGGAACTCACAATTTGCAGATTTGATTCAAAATGTTTGGATGTAAATATGTGAATTGTAGTTTCTTAAAGATCATTCTCATGATTAATGTGTAAAAAAAACACAGTACCCTGAGTTAATTTTCTGTCATTCGATGGAGTATCCTACAACATCTTGGTTTAAAAATTATATCACAAAAAAAAGGCAAAAAAGATGAAAAAATATTCTGAAGCAGAGATAAGTTTTTATGAGGAAGTAGCTCTGGCATGATGACATTTTAATGATTCTGTCTACATTGTTCTGGTATCTATTTGACAGAAGCCATATTTATTATTCTTAGTTATTCAACAAGTTTAATACATAATAATACAACAACTTGCATTTATATAGTGCCCTTGACACTCGGTAGCTTCCTGGAGCACTTGATAGTGGCAGAATCTGTCACTGAGCCAGGGGGACAGGGAGGGAGTAGGTGACTGTAAGGATCAAAAAGGAAGGTATTTTGGTAGATTTGAACGTGGGGAGGAAGGGGGCAAGGCAGAGGGATTTGAGGAGATAATTCTAGAGTTTCGGGGTGTAATAGCTGAAGGCACGGCCACCAATAGTGGAGCAGAGGGGATGAGGGACAAAGAGTAGTCCGGAGCCAGCCGAGTGGGAGGTAAGCAGGTCGGATAGGTAGGGAGGTGTGAGGAGGGCATGAACAAATTTGAAAACGATGTGATCCGTTCGGTAATTAGGAGCCAGTGGAGTCTGGTAAGGACTGGTTTGATGGGGTTACGGAGTTTTGTACGGGTGAATATCCGGGCGGTGGAGTTTTGGATTAATTCAGTTTTGTGTACAGTGGAGTTGGGGAGACAATAGCAACAAAATTACATTTATATTGCGCCTTTCACATCAGGAGAATGTCCCAAAGCAATGGACAATCAGTGTTTCGGACCCGAGCTGGGGGTTGGGATCGGGGAGGGTGGAGGGCAGGGGGAGGTAGGAGGGTGACCAAAGGCACGGTCAAAGAGGAGGGTCTTGAGACAGGTCTTGAAGGAGACAAGGAAGGGGCCGAGGCAGAGGGACTGTGGGATGGAGTTCCAGAGGGTGAAGGCAGAGTAGCTGAAAGCCCGCCCACCAATGGTGGGGCTGGTGAGGCAGGGAACGTAAAGCAGGCCAGAGCCTACTGAGCGGACGGAGCGGGCTGGTTGGTAGGGGGTTAGGAGGTCGCAGAGGTAGCTGGGAGCAAGGCCATGAAGAGCTTAGAAAGTGAGGACCAGGATCTTCAACTGTATCCTCTGAGTGATGGGAAGCCAGTGGAGTCGGGCGTAGATGGGGGTGATAGGGTCGCGGAACCTGGTGTGGGAGAGACCACAGAGTTCTGGAAGATCTGCAGCCTATGGAGGGAGGAGCTGGGGAGGCTGACAAGCAGGGAGTTTGCGTAGTCAAGTCTCAATGTTATGAATGCGTGTATGAGGCTTTTGGTGGTCTGCGGTGCAAGACAGTGGATGTGGGATATGAAGGGTAAGTGTAGCCGCGTTGTCTAGGTTCGCCTTGCTTCCAGGGTTGCCAGAAATTAAAATATGTTTGTAGCCCAAAGTCAACCAAGTACTAGCCCAAAAGTAGCACAATATTAAAGGTGGCATCCTATGGGTAGAGGAGTGGCCAATTTAGGTTTACTGCTTTTGAAACTATGTAAGAAAAGGTCTTTTTTTTAAAAAAGTTTTTGCAACAACAACTTACATTTATTTAGCACCCTTCACGCTGCGTAGTGTCCCGGAGTGCTTACCAGTGGTGGAGTCTGACCCCGAGCCAGAGGTAGAGACATCATCAACCTGTCCCTCTCCTCTGGCTCTGTTCCCATTCCCCTAAAAACTGCCACCATCACTCCCACTTTGAAAAAACCCTCCCTTGATGCGTTGCAGCTATCAAGCTACCGGCGCATCTCCAACCTCCCCTTCCTGTCCAAGGTCCTTGAAAGAGTTGTTGCCTCCCAGCTGCGCTCTTTCCTCTCCACCCATTCATTATTCAAACCCCTTCAGTCGGGTTTCTGTGCTGCCCATAGCACAGAAACCGCCCTGGTCAAGGTCACCAATGACATCTTGACCATCTGCGACCAGGGCTCCCTCTGCCTCCACGTCCTCCTCGACCTATCGGCCGCATTCGATACGGTCGACCACTCTATCCTCCTTCACCGCTTGTCCTCCCACCTCAACCTTCAAGGCCCTGTCCTTGATTGGTTTAGGTCGTACCTCTCCCACCGTCTTCATTTTGTTTCCACAAACGGCTTTTCCTCCAGCCCCCGCACTGTCTCGTGTGGTGTCCCTCAGGGCTCCGTCCTCGGTCCCCTCCTCTTCACCCTCTACATGCTCCCCCTTGGTGACATCATCCGCAGACATGGGGTTAACTTCCACATGTATGCCGATGACACCCAACTCTACCTTTCCTCCTCTACCCTCAACTCCATGGCCACGGCCGAGTCCTGGACGAGAGACAATTTTCTTCAGCTCAACGTGTGCAAAACTGAGGCCCTCCTGATTGGCTCACATCAGCACCTCCGCACCTCAGGCGCTGACAGCATCAGCATCCAAGGCTGCACTCTCCACCTCTCAAAGCCATCAGGAACCTCAGTGTTCTGTTCGACCCTGAAGCTATCCTTTCTTCCTCATATCCGCGCCACCGCCTTCCATCACCTCCGAAACATCACCAGACTACGGCACTACCTCACCTCTCCCGCTGCTGAAACTCTGGTCCACACCTTTATCACCGCAACGCTGGACTATGGGAACTCTCTCCTCGCCAGCCTTCCCGGCACCTCCCTCCACAAGCTGCAGGTCATTCAGAACTCTGCAGCTCGTGTACTGTTCCGCACCGGGCTTCGGGACCACATCACTCCCACCCTCGCTCGCCTTGAGTCTGAAGGAGAGCCCAGGGAAGTTGAGGAGTTTGGACCCGCAGGAAAGAAGATGTTGACGGGAGCCAAAGAGTATGGCCTCCATCTTGATGACATTCACTTGCAGGAAATTTGTGCTCATCCAGGCCCTGATGTCCCTCAGGCAAGTTGACAGGATATCAGCAGCCTGGCGACACAGCTGGAAGAGGGGAAGTAGATTTGGGTGACATCCGCCTACATGTGGAAGTTGACTCCATGTCTGCGGATGACATCGCCAAGAGTGAGTGCGTAAGTGACGAAAAGAAGGGGGCCAAGGATGCAACCTTGAGGTACCCCGAGGATGGGAGAAGGAGGAGAACCCATTTGCTGTGATAAATTCATAGAACCATAGAATTGTACAGAAGAGAGGGAGGCCATTCAGCACATCATGTCTGTGCCGGCTGTTTGAAAAGAGCTATCCAATTCAATCCCACTCCCCCGCTCTCACCCCATAGCCATCCCAAATAATTATCTACTTCTCTCTTAAAAGTTGTTATCGAATCGGCTTCCACCGCCCTTTCAGGTTGCATTCCAGAAATTGTTGGCAGTTTGTCAAATAGGACTCCCAGGTTTAAATTTTAAAAATGTTACAATTAGGCACCAGCCCAAAGCTGCTCTTTCACGCAACAAGAAGACGCCGCAATCGGGAGTAAACCCGCGCAACCTGTCTGGCCATAGTGCCGGGAAGGGGATTGGCTGTGCCCCTCACAAGGATGGCGCCCGGTGGCAGCGGCGCTTGACCCGGAAACGCTAGTCTGGGAGCCATGACCCTGCGCGGCCTCGGCTTGTGCGGGGGTCGCTCTCACTGCCAACGTTTTGGAGTCTCGCGGTTAAGTGGCGGCTTCATTAAAGCTGAAGGTTTATCATCATCGTCGTCGTCATTTGTTTTTGTTAAATCATTACCGCTGACCGTCAGACGTGCGCGACGCCGCGATGCGGGAAGAGGTAGCGCTGTAGTTGTGTGTTGTGCTGAAGGAAGCGACTCCGGAGCGGGGACAGTAACCGCGGCCCTGGAGCACAGGGGCACAGGGAGCACAGCCCCGCTCCGCGCTCTCACTCACGCTGTCCTGCCCCTGACTGACTCCCGCTCAGCCTCCGGCAACGGGCGGGAGGAGGACAAGCCGAGCTGCCCTGACTGACTGACTGACTGACGGGAGGCTCGATAATGCAAGGAGGGGACTCAACGGTTTCAATTCCAGCCTCCATGAAAGTGCTTGAACCTGAGGGGAAAGCGGAGCCACCCGTCCACAGACTCCCGGCCAGAGGGAAGGGATGGCAGTATAGGTAGGTCCTATGTGTGCATTAACTGCACGATCTAACCCGCAGTTCTGCTGGGCTCTGCATTACAGCCAGGTCCGAGAACACGGCTGGACATTACTGTTGTAGTTGTAAACCTTACTGTCTTCAACAACAATTTGTATTTATATAGAGCCTACACGTAAGGAGAACGCCTCCAATTTTATAGAGATCGGGTGGAAGGAAAGTGGCCAAAGAGAGTGGTCTTCGGGCAGTTTTTGAAAGCAGAGAGGGAGGGGTTGAGGTGGAGAGATTTCAGAAGATTGTACAGGAGCAAAGTAGCTGGAAGCTGATCTGCTGATTGCAGGGCAAAGTGGGTTGGGGCATGAAGCAGGCCAGAGTTGGCAAAGGGTAAAGAGTGGCCATGGAGTCGGGTCACAGGAGATCATGGTGTAGGGTGGAGAAAGACTGTGTATCCAGACTCCACTATGCAAACTCCCTGCTTGCCGGCCTCCCCACTCCACCCTCCACATCCTGCAGATCATCCAGAACTCTGTAGCTCGTGTCCTCTCCTGCACTAGGCTCCACGACCCTATCACCCCTATGCTCGCCCGCTGCACTAGCTTTCTATCACTCAGGATACAGTTCAACATTCTGGTCCTCACCTTCAAAGCCCTTCACGGTCTTGCTCCCCCCCCCCCCCCCACCACTGTGACCTTCTAACTGCCTACCAACCTGTCCGCTCCCTCCGCCTTGCCCGCCCCACCATTGTAGGGCAAGCCTTCAGCCACTTTGCCCCCAACCTCTGGAATTCCATCCCACAATCCCTTCCACCTCGCCCCCTCCATTGCCTCCTTCAAGACCTGTCTCAAGACCCTCATCTTCGACCATGCCTTTGGTCACCCTCCTACCCCTACCCTCCTTGCCCTCCACCCCTCATGATCCCAACCACCAGCTTGAGTAGGGATCCCTGACTTGTCCAGTGCCTTGGGATGTCCTCCTGACATGAAATGTAATTTGTTGGTATTGTATGTATTTGAAGGTAAGGAAAAGGATCTTAAAGGTTGGAGCTAGTTGAGGGTGATGGGTTTGTGGAGCTTAGCGTGTGAGAGAATATGGGCTGCATTTCTGCAGTGCTGGATGATGTGGAGCTTGTGGAGGGTTAAATTGGGGAGGCAAGAGAACAGGGTTCGAAAAGTCGAGTGTGGAGGTGACAAAGGTATAGATGAGGGTTTCAGCTGGATTGGAGGATGTGGAGGCAGGTGATGGAGAAAAACAGACTAAAGATTTCAAGGAGTGTTGAGGGTCAAATAAAATGTTGAGGTTTCACATCAGCTTTTGTGAGTTGGAGTGAGCAACCGGGAAGGTTGAATCAGTCAGTGCCTTAAGGTGAGGAAAGTGCTGGCCCAGGGAAGAATAGCTTCAGTTTTGTTGATGGTTAGTTGGAGAAAGATGATGTTCATCCAGAACCTTATGTCTGACAGGCAGTCTGTAGAGGCTGAGAGATAGTTGGATGTCATTTGCGTACATATGGAAGTGGACTGATGCATGCAGATAACATCACCAAGGCAGAGCATTCAGATGAGGAAAAGGAGAGATGAGGTAAGGATAGAGCTATGTGGAACAGCGAGGCAGTGGCAAGGGGAGAAGCTATTAAAGTAAAGATATGGGACAGGTAGGAGTGAAATGTGGTAAGTGTAGAGCTACTCAGGTGTACTAGGAAGAAGAGATGGTAAAGAAAGATGTAGTGGTTGACCATAACAAAAGCGACAGTGAGTTCAAGGAGGACAAGAAGTAGCCTTCTCAGACACAGAAGATTTCATAAATGCCTTTGTCCTGGGCTGTCTTGGTTCTATGGTCAGTAAATATTAGAAACATAAAGGGCAGACTGAATTCTGTTGGTGATTTGCACTAACAAAGGAAATGAAAGAGGTAACCAATTGAAAGTACTGCTAATCTCTCTTTTCCTCGACTCCCAATTAGATTACTGGGCTCTTAGACATATATGCTGCAATGTCATAAGAAATGGTGGAATTTACTGGAACTGAAATAAACAAAAGCAAACTACACATTCATTCTGGAATAATTCTGGTTAGAAAGCTTTCTGTAGCCAAATAAATCAAAAGTTTTTCTAACTTAAAACACAGTGTTGTTCAGTTACACTTTCCAGGAATTGTTTCAGTCGGAGTTTGTTTGACTGCAGTCTAGAGTTTATTTTAAAGGTGTACTATTCAAACTAATAGGGTCGTTTCACTTTTTCCTGTTGGAAAAGTGGCATAGTCCACTCTGCAGACATCCGTGTTTGTCTTTGTTTGTGCTGCCTTCAAGTCCATTTAATAATGTATGTAGAAAGGAATCTTACAAAATAGTTCACCCTCTGTTCAACCGTCTTGTTTTGGTCGATTAATTCATCCTCTACGATGTATTTGTATACATCCACAGATACTGTATTCCACCCTCGCCCCCCTCCACCCTCGGTCTCCGGGGCCCCACCCCTCCAACCTCGGTCTCCGGGGCCCCCCCCCTCCACCCTCGGTCTCCGGGGCCCCCCCCCTCCACCCTCGGTCTCCGGGGCCCCCCCCCTCCACCCTCGGTCTCCGGGGCCCCCCCCCTCCACCCTCGGTCTCCGGGGCCCTCCCTCCACCCTCGGTCTCCGGGGCCCTCCCTCCACCCTCGGTCTCCGGGGCCCTCCCTCCACCCTCGGTCTCCGGGGCCCTCCCTCCACCCTCGGTCTCCGGGGCCCTCCCTCCACCCTCGGTCTCCGGGGCCCTCCCTCCACCCTCGGTCTCCGGGGCCCTCCCTCCACCCTCGGTCTCCGGGGCCCTCCCTCCACCCTCGGTCTCCGGGGCCCTCCCTCCACCCTCGGTCTCCGGGGCCCTCCCTCCACCCTCGGTCTCCGGGGCCCTCCCTCCACCCTCGGTCTCCGGGGCCCTCCCTCCACCCTCGGTCTCCGGGGCCCTCCCTCCACCCTCGGTCTCCGGGGCCCTCCCTCCACCCTCGGTCTCCGGGGCCCTCCCTCCACCCTCGGTCTCCGGGGCCCTCCCTCCACCCTCGGTCTCCGGGGCCCTCCCTCCACCCTCGGTCTCCGGGGCCCTCCCTCCACCCTCGGTCTCCGGGGCCCTCCCTCCACCCTCGGTCTGCGGGGCCCCTCCACCCTCGGTCTGCGGGGCCCCTCCACCCTCGGTCTGCGGGCCCCCCCCCCCCCCCCCACCCTCGGTCTGCGGGCCCCTCCACCCTCGGTCTGCGGGGCCCCTCCACCCTCGGTCTGCGGGGCCCCTCCACCCTCGGTCTGCGGGGCCCCTCCACCCTCGGTCTGCGGGCCCCTCCACCCTCGGTCTGCGGGGCCCCTCCACCCTCGGTCTGCGGGGCCCCTCCACCCTCGGTCTGCGGGGCCCCTCCACCCTCGGTCTGCGGGGCCCCTCCACCCTCGGTCTGCGGGGCCCCTCCACCCTCGGTCTGCGGGGCCCCTCCACCCTCGGTCTGCGGGGCCCCTCCACCCTCGGTCTGCGGGGCCCCTCCACCCTCGGTCTGCGGGGCCCCTCCACCCTCGGTCTGCGGGGCCCCTCCACCCTCGGTCTGCGGGGCCCCTCCACCCTCGGTCTGCGGGGCCCCTCCACCCTCGGTCTGCGGGGCCCCTCCACCCTCGGTCTGCGGGGCCCCTCCACCCTCGGTCTGCGGGGCCCCTCCACCCTCGGTCTGCGGGGCCCCTCCACCCTCGGTCTGCGGGGCCCCCCACCCTCGGTCTGCGGGCCCCTCCACCCTCGGTCTGCGCCCCTCCGCCCCTCCACCCTCGGTCTGCCGGGCCCCTCCACCCTCGGTCTGCCGGGGCCCTCCACCCTCGGTCTGCCGGGGCCCCTCCACCCTCGGTCTGCCGGGGCCCCTCCACCCTCGGTCTGCCGGGGCCCCTCCACCCTCGGTCTGCCGGGGCCCCTCCACCCTCGGTCTGCCGGGGCCCCTCCACCCTCGGTCTGCCGGGGCCCCTCCACCCTCGGTCTGCCGGGGCCCCTCCACCCTCGGTCTGCCGGGGCCCCTCCACCCTCGGTCTGCCGGGGCCCCTCCACCCTCGGTCTGCCGGGGCCCCTCCACCCTCGGTCTGCCGGGGCCCCTCCACCCTCGGTCTGCCGGGGCCCCTCCACCCTCGGTCTGCCGGGGCCCCTCCACCCTCGGTCTGCCGGGGCCCCTCCACCCTCGGTCTGCCGGGGCCCCTCCACCCTCGGTCTGCCGGGGCCCCCCCACCCGCCCCTCCACCCTCGGTCTGCCGGGGCCCTCCACCCTCGGTCTGCCGGGGCCCCTCCACCCTCGGTCTGCCGGGGCCCCTCCACCCTCGGTCTGCCGGGGCCCCTCCACCCTCGGTCTGCCGGGGCCCCTCCACCCTCGGTCTGCCGGGGCCCCTCCACCCTCGGTCTGCCGGGGCCCCTCCACCCTCGGTCTGCCGGGGCCCCTCCACCCTCGGTCTGCCGGGGCCCCTCCACCCTCGGTCTGCCGGGGCCCCTCCACCCTCGGTCTGCCGGGGCCCCTCCACCCTCGGTCTGCCGGGGCCCCTCCACCCTCGGTCTGCCGGGGCCCCTCCACCCTCGGTCTGCCGGGGCCCCTCCACCCTCGGTCTGCCGGGGCCCCTCCACCCTCGGTCTGCCGGGCCCCTCCACCCTCGGTCTGCCGGGGCCCCTCCCCTCGGTCTGCCGGGGCCCCTCCACCCTCGGTCTGCCGGGGCCCCTCCACCCTCGGTCTGCCGGGGCCCCTCCACCCTCGGTCTGCCGGGGCCCCTCCACCCTCGGTCTGCCGGGGCCCCTCCACCCTCGGTCTGCCGGGGCCCCTCCACCCTCGGTCTGCCGGGGCCCCTCCACCCTCGGTCTGCCGGGGCCCCTCCACCCCGTGCCCCCTCCACCCTCGGTCTGCCGGGGCCCCTCCACCCTCGGTCTGCCGGGGCCCCTCCACCCTCGGTCTGCCGGGGCCCCTCCACCCTCGGTCTGCCGGGGCCCCTCCACCCTCGGTCTGCCGGGGCCCCTCCACCCTCGGTCTGCCGGGGCCCCTCCACCCTCGGTCTGCCG